TACAATTCTGACACTATCATTCAAAAGTTTGTGCTGTCTCAGCCCCGTTTAAAAACTGAGCCGCAACTTGCAAAGCTCCATCGGGCTCAAGCAGTTTGCGGACCAAATTCTTCCACCACCATCCATCAAATTCAAGCCATACACCACCAAAAAGCGCACAGCAACCGCAACTCAATTCCCCACAAGAAAATAAAACACACCCAATTCAATCACTTTTTAGTTTTGTACATCAATTCTCGCAGTGGGAACGAAACCCACAAACTCCAATCCTCTGGAACACCCCAGAGAGAGAGAGAGAGCGAGAGAGAGAGAGAGCTTCCTCTTCTCTGCTTCATTGCTGTTATTCAACAATCGTGAGTGTTTCTCTCTGTTTTTTCATTTGATTCTGTTTTTAATTTAGGGTATATTTCGTCTGATTCTGGGGATTCGTTGAACCCTTAAGTCAAAATTTCCCAAATGACGAAAGAAACCGACCCCATTACCATTTTCCCCAAAAAAGAGAAGCAGTGAACTCAGCGTTCAATTTCTCTGCCCTTTCTCGAGGATTATCATCATGTGGGTGTTGGGTATTTTATTTGTTGGTTGTGGACTTTTTCTTTTAATAATACTCGAAATCGGGATCTTATATAATTAATATTGTTGGGACTGTATTGGGTGTATTTTAAGTATTATCTTTTGGACGAATTACAGGCGCGATACAAAAGAGATAACCAAGTGGGAGCTTCCTCTGTGTCGAATCAGCGCTGAGGATTTCTTGGGCGGTTCAATCGGATTCTTAAGCTGCTTTTTCCATTTCATTTCGCAGTTGGGTTTCTAGTTTCCTCTTCGATTTGCTAATTATAACTCCGAATCGTCGAGTGGGAAGTGGGATTTGAATCGTTTGATATGTCTTTTGCTTCATCGTTGGTTGTCTCTCTCAACGTCGAAGTTTCGCTGAGCTTCGGATTTCTTGATTCAGTCCGTGATGGAACCCAATTTCCCGATTCTTCTAGATTCTTCTTCTCCCGAAATCGAACGAACCAGATGAGTAAGAGGCAGAAATGGAGCAACAATTCGCTCTCTACAGAATTGAAATACCCATTTCTTATAGCAGCGAGCATGGTGGCGAATCCCGCCGGAGAAATGGCCATCTCATCGGAGCAGAAGGTGTACAACGTAGTTATGAAACAGGCGGCTCTGGTGAAGCGGCAGCTGCGGACCGCCGGAGAACTGGACGTGAAGCCGGATATTGTTCTTCCGGGGACTCTCAGTTTGTTGAACGAAGCTTATGATCGCTGTGGAGAAGTTTGTGCAGAGTATGCCAAGACATTTTATCTGGGTTAGCCTTTTCTGTAAACATTCTTACCAAAAATTTCAGCCATGTTTGGAGATGGAATTAAGTATCTCTGTTGCTTAAATTCTTCTCTGATTCATTTTTTTTTTCTTTCAGGAACTATGCTGATGACACCTGAGAGGCAAAAGGCTATCTGGGCAATATATGGTAAGTGGTATGAACATTTTTTTTGGTCAGAATTTCCATTGTTTCGTCTTTGTAGCTTTCATACATATCCGTTGCTGCAAATACAGCGTGTGGTTTTGGAATTACTGTGCTTTACTGAGTGCATCCTGCTTAAAGCATGTATACTTCTTCGAGTATGTGTTTCACGAACGTTTTCATTTTCGTTCTCAAGAAATTGGGTGCTTATGTTATGGCTTCGTTGTCGAAATCAACCACCGTAGATTAGTCCAGTGGTTAAAATAGTAAATTATGAACTAAGATACATTTGAAGGTCATAACCAGATATATAAGGAATGTTTTTGCTACACTCTTTTGATTGACTGTGGACTGATTTTCTCCTTATTCTTTGTTTATGGCATGCAGTGTGGTGTAGGAGGACAGATGAGCTTGTTGATGGGCCAAATGCTTCGCACATAACACCTACAGCATTGGATAGATGGGAGGCGAGGTTGGAAGAGCTTTTCCAGGGGAGGCCTTTCGACATGCTCGATGCCGCTTTAGCCGATACCGTTACTAAGTTTCCCGTCGACATTCAGGTTAGCGATGGTTTAATCAACGYAGATGCCATACACAATCTTATATGTTGTTATTTCTTGAAAATTTGGTGTCTCTAGTAGATGTGTGTGGCTGCAAGTTGTTTGAAGTCTAATAAGTTTCATGTGTCTTCTCAGCCTTTTAAAGATATGATCGAAGGGATGAGGACGGACCTGAGGAAGTCGAGATACAAGAACTTCGACGAACTGTATCTGTACTGCTATTATGTGGCTGGGACAGTTGGGTTGATGAGTGTTCCTGTTATGGGGATTGCACCTGACTCAGAAGCAAGCACAGAGAGTGTATACAATGCTGCCTTGGCTTTGGGCATTGCTAATCAGCTTACAAACATACTCAGAGATGTTGGAGAAGAGTAAGTACTATGGCCCTTCCCCCTTGAGTAATTTTGTTAAGCTGAAAACATAATGAAATTGGTAATTAAGTAGGTAAGAAAAACGCCAATTAGAAAGAATAATGATATTTGTTGTTCGAGAATCGTATTTAATAGGTATCTGAACTTTAGAAAATGTCTCCGTTTGATAAGCTTGTGTTCTTTTGTTTTGTTATATAGTTCTTCATAAAAATTTTCAAAATATAGGGCAAATTTTGGAAAAAAAAATGGTTTTCATTTTTTTTTTTAATTTGGCTAAAAATTCGAATATGTTTTGAAGAGAGGTGAAAAACTTACTAATGAAATTGTAGAAAATAGAAACATAAAATTAAAAACGAAATAGTTATCAAAAGACAACTAAACATCCAATTTTGTGTCTAATAGGTCTTTAACKGACAATTTTACCTATCTATTATAGACAAAATTGAAATGTTAGGATCCGATTAGGCACATACCTATTAAACACAACTTTAAAAGTTCAAGAACAGAAGTTGTAATTTAACCAAAAAACAAATAGACTTTGAGGGCCCAAATAGCCTTTACCTACAAGTTTCTCGACAAGCAAACGTTGTTTTGGTGAGGTAGTGGAGATGTTGGACGAGACAATTTTCGGTGGTGTGAGGTGTTTTAAGGGCTTATGTTTGTTTGTTTAGAAATTAGAGTGTTGTGATTTAATGAGATGAAAAATGTTAGATGTGATGCTAATAGAATACATGTGGTGGGTGTTGTGAAGTGCTAGAAGGGGAAGAATTTATCTACCACAAGATGAGCTAGCACAGGCAGGAATTTCAGAAGAGGACATTTTTGGGGGAAGAGTGACTGATAAATGGAGAAACTTCATGAAGAATCAAATCAAGAGGGCCAGAATGTTCTTCGACGACGCCGAGAAAGGAGTCTTGGAGCTTAACAAAGCTAGCAGATGGCCGGTAAACCATACTATTTTTACTTTTTACGATCTTTTTAGACCTGCTAATCACACTAGTTGACGAGAAATGGATAATGAGAGTTCTTTTAAAATATATATATAGGTCCTCACCGGTTATAAAATTAAGGTCCTCATGGGTTTTAAAATATATATATRTATATATATATATAATTAGGATGGATTCTTCAGACTGTTTTTGAAAAGTGAAAAACAAAATCCAATAAAAGTGCTACTAATAAAGCCTAAAAGACTAGATTCTTAAAACAATATGGCTTCAAAAAAAGAAAACGCTTCTAACAAACAAAAATAAATGAAAGAATTAGAAATTTCATTTCAAAATTTAATATGTATTTTAATAAATGTCACAACTTTTCATTTTTTCTTTTCAAATTTAGTATAAGTTTGACATTTTTTTTAATATTATCTTACACTACATTTAAGTTTTAGTTAAAGATCATCAACCATGTAGTAAGTTTGAATCTCCACCCACGTGCTTAAAAAAATAAAAGTTTAGTTTTAATTTAGACATGATATTTTTTGTAAGATTTTAAAATTTCTGAAAATGACTCTTAAAACCTTGGTTAGTAGTTCACTTTTTCTTTTTGGTTTGTTTATTATTGGAAAAAGGAAAACCATGAATAAAATTGCAATTGAACAACATGTTTATAATTTCAATTTAACTTTGCACGATCAGAGTGAATAATATGTGGAAGTTGAGAGGCAAACCCACAACCAAAGTCGGGATATATGCTTTAAACAGTAGCGTCATATTCAAGATGACTAATAAAAKTTTTTGTTGTTGTTGTAAACTCACGGATCAAATGACTAATCGTACAACRATCTCAATAAAACCAAATTTGTTATCACAAACTCGCCAATTGAATGACTAAGAAGAGAATGTTGGCTTATATCCTTTAGTTTGTTCCCTTTAAAATAAGAATGTTGGTTATGATATTTGCAGGTGTGGGCATCATTGCTATTATATCGCCAAATATTGGACGAGATAGAAGCAAATGACTACAACAACTTCACAAAGAGGGCCTATGTGAGCAAGGCCAAGAAATTGATGGCTTTGCCAATGGCTTATGCAAGGTCTCTTATGGGCCCTTCTTGAACTTACACCACTACTAATTACTATACCAACTCAACAAGCACAATGAAATTTCAACAAGAAAATTTGTATATTAGCATATTCCTTCTTCAATTAGCCAKAGTCGATTCCAAAATTTTATTATCGAGGCGTTTCARTCTATATTCTTTAGCAATATCGTTGCTGGTGATTTAAATGTGTTATTTGATGGATGGCCGTAGAGCTCATAGTTTACTTAGGGTTTTGTTTCCATTTTTTTAGACGATAGATAAGATATGTCAATTAACTAGCTTGGAGTGAAAAAAATACGACCTAATTAGCGTAATTTTAGCCCAATGGCTAGATGCACAGCGTGCTAAAAGCCACACTCTAATTTTGATTGTGATTCCTAATCTATATTTTTAAGTTAAGATTGGTATTTTGTGTAAACCTGATAATGTTGTTTTTTCTCTCTTAACAATTTACTCTACMGGCTCTTATCTATTTATTTATCTTTCAAATGAGTATTTTTGTGATCTATTTCTTTTTGCTTTCATCATACTAGACTATTAGCAGAGTGCAGTTTAATAAAATGATCTTCAACATAATAAAATTAGCTATGAATATATACTTTTGATCACGATACATTTTTTGTTGAAAAAAAAAGATCAAGCTGCTTATAATTTGCACATTATTTTGAATCTAAAAGGGAAAAAATTAGTTTTTAAACTACATTATTTAAAACAAAAACCTAGTTTTGTTGGCAAATGCAAACGGCTAACAAAAAGAAAAAAAAAAAGGAAAAAAAAGAAATTTAAAAACGCGCGCAAGTAAACGAGAGTGAGAAGACGTGGTCCGTACACGTGGCATGAGATAAACGATAGCTGTGTAAACCCTAAAATCCGATTTTAGGGTTTTGTTGTTCTTCCAGTTCTATATATAAGTTGCTTAGCCCGTCGTCCTCTCAAGCAACCCCCTCGTTTCCACGGCCAATCTGCAAGGTATGGTGTTAGGGTTTTGATCTGAATCAGGTGTACTTTCTTTCTCATCTTCGTAGTGGTTTTAATGGCGTCGAATACTGATTACGAACATCCGCGAGACTCTGTTTCACAATCGGATGCTGCGTATGAGCCGACGCGATAGTTGTTCCGATTCTGTGAACTGCAGAGGCTTTCACTGCTTCCATACGAAGCCGGTCGCTGAATCGCAGTTTTGGAAAAATTCAAGGCCACTACTGCGTTCTCTGTTTTTGATGTTGCTTTTGTACTGTTTGAAACGTATAACTGTCAATCGAAGATGGATGTGATGACACTTTCCCCAAATGATCGAAGCTGATTATACTATGCTCTGGTGTATTATCACATTCTGTTCTGATCCATCTACTTTGATATTGATTGAATTGATTTTCCTCCATTTGAATTTGGCTTTACATCTTCATCTTACTATTTGGCATGCATATATGCGAACCTACTACTCTTCGATTGATCTATTGCTGATCTTCTTACTGGTTGATGACTTGAGATGTTTCTACATAGTAGTTAACTGAATGTTTGCAATGAAGATGGAAGTGATGATACTTTCCCCAAATGATCGAAGCTGATTTTACTATGCTGGTGTATTATCACAATCTCTTCTGATCCATCTTCTTTGTTCTTTATTTAATTCATTTCACTCCATATTTACTTGTCTTGACATTATTCATAGATGCGAATGCTACTGCTCTTCGAATCTAATTCCGATTTTCTTACTTGTAATTGACTTGAGATTTTTGTACATAGTAGTTATCTGAATGAAGATGGAAGTGATGATACTTTCCCCAAATGATCGACGCTGATTATACTATGCTGGTGTTTTTATCACATTTTGTTCTGATCCATCTTTCATCTTGATTGATTTGATTTCTTTCTTAGTTATATTTGTTTCCGTAATTGTATTTTATAGTTTTATTTCTGGTAATTAACTTGTGATGTTTGCATTGAGTTGTTTCAAATTGAATACTTTCTGTGAAGATGGAAGTGATGATACTTTCCCCATACGAACGACGCTGATTTTACTTTGCTGGTGTTTCTTAACACTTTTATCTGATCCATCTTCTAGCAGATTCAGTTTTTTGCCTCTATTATGTGTTTTTATCGTTTTTTAATCTTTCCTAATTTTTACTTGTTTATGCGTACTTTTGCTAAATTGCTTTTGAAAATTTAATTCCATTTCATTCTATAGTTGTGAAATTCCATTCAAATATAAGTTGGTTTGTTAAATTTACAGAATCAAGATTTCTACTAATAATTTGAAATACACTTTGACTACAAACGATATATATATATATATATATATATATATATATATATATATATATATATATTTTGTGGAATTGGTAATTGCTGAAACATCGAAATTTTACAAAGAATTTATTTGAATTGTTAACTTCAAAGTATTTGATTCTTCTAATTGTGGTATGTAGCTTAAATCAATGGATAATAAAAATTAAACTGGTTGTGTTGTGAAAAATAACTTGGTTTTATATTTTAAAATTTAAAGAAAAGAGGAAGTTTAACCATTAACTTTTGTGGACCCTTTTATAATATGGATTACACAATTTATTTTCTTGTAAGCGTTTAAAAATATACATAAGAATTACATTTTTATTTTTGACCTATAAAAGCATTATAGTTTTATGAAAAAAATTTTCTAGAAGAAAATTATATATATATATATATATATATATAAGATTGACAACTTAATAAAATACTTTGTACAAAATTAAGTAGAGAGGAAGTATAGATTGAGCAATGATAAATGAAACAAACTTCATCTTTAGAAGGATTTAACATGGTAAGTTAAATGCAATCAATAATTGAGAAGGCCTGCAAATTAATAATAATTTGGCAGTTTTCATAAGAAAGCAGTGTTTGTTGGAAGTTTGATTGGCACATTTGTATGTATCAAATAATGGTGGTAGAACAAGATAAAGGGAGCATACCATAATGCCTATTATTATTTAGCAAGTTTTTTAAAAACGGACTCTAGCTAATTAGAAATTGAGGGATATCCATTTGTTTTTAAATAACCTTGAAAGAAGAAAAGAATGAATAAGGTTGATAAAAAGCAATTTAGGAAAATGTCAAGCTAGAGAAGTTATATTTATTTAGTTTTTTTATTTTATTAATTTTTTTTAACTAGGGAGAGGGTACGAAATTTATTGTAAAATTGTGTGGAAGGACTACTGATTACCGAATAATGGTTAGCATTGATTTTCAGAATCTAACAATGTTTGAGATTTGATTGTAGCCAGAAATGGTTGCAGCAAAATACGTCAATAATAAAATACGGAACAATGAAAACATCCTCTAGCAATATGGCTTTAACAATTTAATTAATTGGGTCTGTAAAATTTTGATCTCCATTAACGTAGGCACTGCATAAAAAGTAAATTAGCGTTAGGAAAATACATTTTGGTTTTTATAACAGGTGTTTCTAGTTCTTGAGGTTAGAAAAATGTTCATAAATGGCGCATTAGTTTCTTTTACTATTGGTTTATTAATGGTAAATTGTTGATTTGATGAGTTGTCTTAAATTAAAGATGTTTTTTTGTCCTCAGATTTTTTATTTTCTAAAGGAATTTAAGCATTTTGCAATTGATTTTGTTTATTATTTCTCTTTATTTGAGAATATTCTTACCATTATATAGAAGTTTTGGAAATAATCAAAACATGTTTCTTCTCTAATGTTTTTTAAAACATTAATAAAAATAATTGTTTTATCATATTTGACTTAATGGATGCTCATTGTTCTTAGATAAAAATGAAGATAAACAAGAACCATGAAACTTACCAAATGGGGTTTTATATTTCTCTTTCCAGCTCAGGTTTCTTCCTCCTCTCCTCAACTTAACTGTGCCAGCTGTGCTGTTGTTGATGTTACATTCATTGCCTTGGTTTGTAATGGCCGTTCAATAAGGTGAGGTTGGTGACACTTTATTCCAGAGAAAGATTGTTGGGTATGCACCTAGAGTTTCACGTAGGCTAGAAAATGAGGACGTCACGGGTATATAAGTGATGAACATCTGTAACATCTTTGATAGTATTATACCATTATGGAAATGTGGATGGTCTCTTGTCTCTAACATTATTCATTTTTTATGATTCCAATGGGGGAAGTTAAATAAAAATATGCTATAGATTGATTTTTCCATAATTTGGAAAAAGAGAGTCCCATCGCTGCAAAAATAAAACTTAATTAATCCGTGTTTGCTCGCTCAACAATATATTTTTTGGACTTACACTGCCACTAAGAATATTATCATGTTTTTCTTTCTACACTGTCATCCTCTTTGTTATTCTCTCTTTTGGTCTTGTTCTTTCCTTCTTCATCCCACTCTTCTTTATCAACATGAAAAGACAACCCAAAATAAAATTAAAAAACAACCTAAAATTGTTTGCCTCATTGTGCTTCATTTTGTAAATTGTTTGTTGCATAGTGAAACATCTTTTCAATATCAAATTCTTTTTCCAAATTGTTCAGTTCTTCAAGCTATGGTTTACTTTATTCCTCTTTCATATAATGTAGTCTCATCTTGTGATTCCTTCTACATCTTCATATTGTAGTCCTCTAAGAATCTCTTGTTCAATGCCTTGGTTAGGTCTTTGATGAGAGATTGAAAAGTTTGATGGGTATATCATTTTCTAAAATTATTTTTATAAAAAATTTATTTATAATAAATTTGTCTTTCGCTTTTGGTAGAATACACTTTTTGTTGAGGATAAATATCTATTTGGTTCATAAGTCTGGAGAGAGAAGAGAGGAAGAAGAGGGAAAAATGCTTAAAAACGAAATAAGGGACATTTTAAAAATATTTTCTAATGGTCAAATTAAGGGACAAAAAATGTAATTTACCTTTTTTTTTCATACTTCTGATTTTTTTTTAATAGCTTCAACAATTTTTTTTGTTATTAAAAAATTTATGACTACATGACAAAAATGTAGGCTTAAAATACATCAACTAAGTTGGGAGGCATTAGGCGTATGTCCATAAATTCAAATCCTCATTTCCCTGAGATAAAAAAAAGTTGGAGGGATTGGTATGGTTAAAGTGAACAAAAATTTCCAAAAATTTCCAAAAATATACTATTTATTATTTTTTTTTGGAGACACCAAAATTATATTATTAAAGTTCCACATTTTAAATTTTGATAATGCAATTATTTTACTTTTGGAATCAATTTCAGTAATATTTTGCATTTTCATAAAATATAATTTGCTTGACTTATTTTTCATTTTATATTTTGCCCTTTTCAGCTAGATGCCTACTCTCTATTTTCCACTTGAACTTTTTGACTTTTATTTTTATTTATATTTCTTTTTATCATCTTCTATCATTCTCTCTTTAAATTCAAGTCCTTTGATTCCATTTACTCACTTGGGATGTTTGGATCTTCTCACCCACCCACCCATCAATTGATAGAAGTACTTTTATTTTCCAAATTCCTTTAGGATCAAATTCAAAATTTTAAAAAATTCAAAAAGAAAAAAACTAAATATAATTTGTGTCTGAAATGATATGCATATAACTTTAGTAGTAGTACCAGTTTGAGGAAGGGTGATCTAAACTTTTCAATAGATTAAATTATAAATTTTATTTTTTTACTTTGAAAATTGAACTTAATATCTTAACTACATCCTAAAAATTCATATCATGCTTACCTTTAAAATGCTAATGTCCATATTCTATTAGATATAATTTAAGTGAGTGACATGATCTGTAATTAGAGATATTCTAAACCATAATAATTAAACTTTAAACCCTAATTCAATCCTAATTGTATTTTCCTATAGACTAAGATGTAATTGAAAGTATTTTAAAACCAAGGATTAAATAAACACAATAATGGGGAAATAGAACAACATAATAGCTTAGAAATGAAAAATAAAAATGAAAAGGTATACAAATTTATTCTCTTCTGCCGCGTAAGCTTTTGATATTTGTCTTTTTTATATCATGTTTTGGTGTGTGTGTCACATCTATAGGGTTCTCCTTGTCTAAAGTTTACAATCATATTTCCTTATATCTTCATAGCTTTAGGTACATACCATAGAATATACTATTTTTACTATATATTAATATTAAAAAAAAAACTATCACCATTCCTAAAATTGATGGTTTGATTTCCATTTTTGCAATTGCTGAATTAGAAAAAAAAGAAAAAAAAATAGATGTGCACGATAAAATTATTTAAAAAAAAATTAAAAAATGTCATTAGAACATATTTGGCACATAGTTTAACTAGTCAAGATATTAACATTCTCTTTTATATATCTCTACTCCATTATTTGAATAATTGTAATACTTTAAAGAAAGAAGTTATTGGTAAATTGGCTGATTTTGTTAATCACTAATTGTTTTGGTAATAGTATCTTTTTTTTTTCCACCTCAAAGAAAAAAAAATAGTATGTTTATTTAGATATTGATTAACTATAATCTAATAACTTTTGATTAATTCATTATATAATGATTAGACTATAATTGGATGCGTATTTTTTCGTGAGTGTCAGCACCAACTTCCATACATCTCGATTAATCTCGCTACTTGCTAAGTTATGCTAGATTTGTAGCTATACAAGATTACAAAACTTTAGTTGGATTTGTATTAACTTTTTTATTCTTAAAACTAGAATAATGAATATGAAAATGCATCACACTTTGAACCTTTGTATCTTACCCATTCCCTCTTTTCTCCTTCTATCTTCCATCTATCACCATAGTTGGCAACCCAATTGCCACAAGACCATTATCCTCTGATGCTTCTTTTAAAAAATTTTCCTCCTTTATTCAACGAGAAATAAGAAACGAAAAACTAAAAACAAAAAATAAAAAAACTTGTTATTTATATTGAGTCTAGTATAATTAGAGTGATAAACATGACAAGAATTATTCCTATTATAATATTATTAATAAGTAGAATTATAAAATATTTCAAGAAAATATGAGGGTTTCAAATAAAAAAAAAAGAATGATTGAAAAAAAGATGACTATTCTAACTATATTTGGATCGCTTGTTGTATTAAAACAACTTTCAACTTGATACGTGAATATTTTATTCTCATTAATCGAAAAATAGATCATGTTTTATAATTGGTTTTTAAAATAAAGTTATGCTTAGACAATAACTTAATTAACAACCAAAATAATGTTCCAAACTTTATATATCTTAATCAATTGAACTATTATTTAAAAAAGCGTAAATATTAACAACTAAGCATCAACTCAACAATCATTTTTCTTTACATGCAAAACTAGACACCTAGAGAGAGAGAGAGAGAGAGAGAGGAAAAGATCAATTTGAATACCAAAAATTTGGAGATAGGTAGATGAATGATTTTGGTGGTTTTGATTGAAAGTTCCTTTCTTTTCAACCATTTGATGAGGAATAGTATATTCTACTGGTTTGGTAAAGGACACCAAATCTTGGAATAAGGAATAAGCTTTAACTATACCTTAGGTATGTTTGTGGAAAAAGGAAAAAAAAATTTAATAAAAAAAGGGCAAACTAATTTAAGGTTACTGTACTTTGATCTTAAATTTAGAACAATAGTTAAAGGTAATAAGTTCAAACTCAACTTTACCTCTAATGGCAACTTGAGCATAAATCAACTTATTAAGACATAAGTTCCCGACCCAAATGTCGCAAGTTTAGAATTCCCCTCATCCACATATGTCGTTGTAGCAAAAAAAGAAAAAAAATCCACCCCTCGTACTTGAGAAATGTAATATTAAAAAAAAACTCTCTTGAATAGGTAATAGGTGTCTTATACATCAAAATGTTTATAATGAAGTTACATAAATATAAATATAACATAGAGTTTGAAAATAAGGATTTAGAAAATAAAAACATTATATTTTATTTTTGTAATGGAAAATAAAATGTTATTTTCATCATTGTTGTAGAGTAGATTTTTTTTTTTATCAAAGAGCAATAAAATAGAAAAAAATTATCAAATTATATTTTTGTGTCTAAACAAGAAAAGGGAAAAACAAAAACCACAAAACTAAAAAACTAGTACACAAAAGAAGGTTAATCAAACCCTTTTTTTTGTTTAAAGAAATAAATCTAAGCTATTTTGTTCACAATGCTTTTATTTGTTACTTTACTATTTATTTATTTTTCTTAAATGGTTAAAAATTTAGATTTTTTTTTTTTAATTTGTGAATAAGTAAGATTAATCTATAAAATAAAACGTTTTCCAAATTGACTTCAATTAAACAAATGAAGAGAAAAAGTTTAAGTTCAAAATTGTTCATAAGGCTATAAGCGGACTTAGCTTCGTGGTCAAGTTACAAAGTTGGTAGTTTAAATTTGAATCTCACATTTGTAATGTAATATGCTCAAACTAACAATCACAGAAAAAAAAGTTCATAGCTAGTTCCTTTTCCTTCATTTTTAATAACAAGAAAAAAAGGAAGAAACTATATGCTATGAGTATGAAATTAAAAGTCCACAGTTGATAATGCAATTAGAGTCAATAAATATTAATTAGGATGGCAGAAGAAGAAGAAGATGATGAAGATCACAAGGAAAGAATAATTAAGCATAAGATGAATTGAAGAGAATCTGATGTAAGTTAGAGAAATTGTTTTCCTTTATCCGAGAATGTTCTTTCTCCTTGTCTTCAACCCAAAAAAATCCCTCCTTTTTTCAATTTTGTTTTGTTGTTTTGAATTCTCTGTGATAGAATCACAAATCCCCTACGCCATTCACAAATATGGCCATTTGGGTGTCTCTATAAATGCCCCAAATGGTTGAATCACTCCTCTCCAAGCCAAGCTGCATTATTATTATTGTTTGCAAATATTGCTGTTTTGGTGTTGGTATTGGTTTTTCTGAGAGAATAAGGTATTATTAATGGCTTCTTCTGCAGTGTCTGTGGGTGGTGGCAGTGCCATTAATGGGATGCCTGAGGCGCTGAGGCAGAGCCATGGCTACATGAAGAGATGCTTTGGGAAGTTGGTTGAGAAGGGGAGTAGGAGTAGGAGTATGAAGCTCAAGGAGTTGATGGAGGCTATGGAGATGGCTTTTGATGATAAGATGGAAAGGATTAGGGTCATGGATGGACTTCTTGGCCATATCTTGTCCTCCACTCAGGTCTTGCTCTCTTTCTCGATATATACTTCTCCATTGACTGAAGTCAGACTCACCAATCTTGTATTAATATTCCTGAGTTCCATTTCAAAACCAATTGGCAATGAGATGAGTAATCTATGTCTATTATAAACTATCGTCATGTCGCTTTTCTTTTCAATGTGGGATCCTTAACATCTTGGCCCATAGATGGTGGTTCCTCCGAACTCACTTGTATATTATAAACTTTGTTTGGTTTCTTTATCTTTTCGAATTATCCTTATAAGTGGGCAGCATGAATCCCCTTTCCCTCTGGTTCTTTTGCTCTAGTTTACTTCTCTCTCTCTCCCTTGCTCTTTTTCACTTTACTTTTTTTTTTTCTCTCTAGCACGTCTCTCTAAATTACGTTTTTCTCTCTCTCACAAAATCCTCAAAAGCTAGCCTCTTTCTCTTTTTCTGAAATGCTCGATTCCTCTTCTCTTGACACTTGTATTCCTCAAAGTATTATTTTCTCTTACTCTTATTTTTACCTGTCTTTCTCTCTCTCTTTATCATATTTTTCTCTAATTTAAACCTCTCTCTCTAACACTTTATCATTTGAAAAATATTTGGCTATTCAACAACGAGAAGAAATAAAAGGGGTGAAATGAAACTTGTAATTAATTACATGCATTATATTTATTATTGTGTAGGTGGCAATTGTGTCTCCTCCATATGTTGCCTTTGCCCTAAGACCTCAACCAGGATGCTGGGAATTTGTCAAAGTCAACTCCATAGATCTCTCGGTTGAACCTCTCACCTCTACCCAATTTCTCAAGTTGAAGGAAACCATTTACGACAGTGAATGGTATATACATACATACATATATTCTTATTGTGTTTGTTGTTTTCATAAAATTATTTTAATTATTATTATTAAATGTGTAGTTTTAGATTCTAAAAGTTGATCATATTGTAGGGAAAATGATGAAAATGCATTGGAAGTGGATTTTGGAGCAATTGAGTTCACAACTCCCCACTTAACCATTCCCTCTTCAATTGGAGAAGGTCTTAGTTACACTACAAAGTTCCTCACCTCAAAACTAAGTGGCAAGTTGGAGAATTCACAACCCCTTGTGGATTACTTGTTGTCCCTTGATTATCAAGGAGAGGTATGCACAAAAAAAGAAAACAAAAGCTAAAATTTAATGGTTATATTTTAAAAATTGGCTATGATTTTAGAAAAGGCGAAATTTCGAAACCCACGTCTACGACATCGTTATCAAATGGACCAAAAAATGAATGAAAGCGAAGCTGACATATTTCTGATTACTTACATGTGGGGCTTCTATATATTGCTTTTTTCTTTCTCTGATTGTGATTTTTTTTTTTAATTGTCACACAGAAACTTATGATAAATGAGACCCTGAACACAGCTTCCAAGCTTCAAATGGCACTGATCCTTGCTGATATTTTCCTCTCTGCACTTCCTCCAGACACACCTTATGAAAATTTCCATCTCAAGTAAGTAACCGACCTTGTTAATAGAAAGTCCTGAGTTCGAATTCCTATAAGATGTCTTTTATTTCTGACTCGCCACCCTACACGTGAGAGAAAGTGTTAAATATATACTTAATGGTTTAAGTTTTTGGATTTAGCGACGGTTTAATATTTTCGACTCTGATCATGTTGACCAATTTTTATGGACTTCAGATTCAAGCAGTGGGGTTTCGAGAGAGGGTGGGGAGACTGTGCAGGAAGAGTAAAGGAAACCATGAGATGTCTCTCTGAAATATTCCAAGCCTATGATCCAACCCAAATGGAGAAGTTCTTCAGCAGGCTTCCCACCATTTTCAATGTTGTCATTTTGTCTCCCCATGGCTACTTTGGCCAATCTGATGTTCTTGGTTTGCCCGATACCGGAGGCCAGGTACGTGGTATCATCGATCAGGATGAAATTAATGAGAATGTAAGAATGTTATCTCTTTGATGTTATTTGCTCGAACCCGAAGGTATAGAGATAAAAAAGGCCAACATTATATTCATATTCATATTGATTCTTTACTTATGGGTGTGGCTTTTTTGTGGCTATTCAGGTTGTGTACATTCTAGATCAAGTTAAAGCTATGGAAGAAGAATTGCTTCTCAGAATTAAGAAACAAGGACTCAACTTCAAACCTCAAATTATTATTGTAAGTACTAAAAATAACCTTTCGATAGATAAGGCATGTCGTTAGATACTATGTTAAATCATCGTTATACTTAAAAGTTTAAGTTGATAGGTCGAATACTTATATATATATATTATTTGATAAATATGTAGATTACAAGGCTTATTCCGGATGCCAAGGGGACCAAGTGCAACCAATCGTCAGAACCTGTCTTTGGGACTAACTACTCTAATATTGTTAGGGTTCCGTTTAGGACCGAAAAAGGCATCCTTCGTCGTTGGGTTTCTCGTTTCGACATTTATCCTTTTCTCGAGAGGTTTGCACAAGTAAGTATTCTAAACGTAATTCGAAAATTAAGCTTGTTTGAACACAATTTCTTTTAATATGTTGTCACTTCTCTTTGAAACATATTTGAATTCTTATCCACGATTCAAAAACAAAAAAAAAAGACTTTGAAAACTACATTTTTTAATCACTTTCCAAATTTTGGCATAGATTTGAAAAAGTTTCTAAAACTAGGTAGAAAACAAAGAAAACGGAGTGAAAAGCAATATTTAAGAAACAAAATACTTATAATACGAGACCTTAATTCTTCCAAAATTTGGTTAAGATTTATTAAAGAAATATTTTTTTTGGAGGTGGCTAACCAAAAACAAAATCTTTATCAAACGGGTCGTGAACTTTTTCCTTTGAAATCTTGTTCTAACATGTTTGATATTAGGATGCCACTGCCACAATATTAGATCTCATGGAAGCAAAGCCAGATTTAATCATTGGAAACTACACAGATGGGAATTTGGTGGCATCCCTCATGGCCAGCAAACTAGGGATAACCCAAGTACTTACTTTCTTCATACTTTAATTTCTAATTAAGAAATGTCTTGAAGAAATAGCTTTTATTTGTAACACAAAATTTACTAACATAATTAATATGCAAAACCAGGGTACTATTGCACATGCCTTGGAGAAGACAAAGTATGAAGATTCAGACCTTAAATGGAAGGAATTGGACTCTAAATATCACTTTTCTTGTCAATTCACTGCTGATATTCTTGCCATGAATGCCACTGATTTTGTCATTGCAAGCACATACCAGGAGATTGCTGGAAGGTTAGAAAAAAAGAGGGAAAAAAATTGTAAAAGCAGAAAACTAAAAATGAAATGGTTATTAAATCGAGTGTAGGTTCAAATCTTAATCCTGTATTTGTGATGTGTTTGCGATGTTTTATCATTGAAAAACTTTATGGTTTCAGCAAGGAGAAGCCAGGCCAGTATGAAAGCCACGAGGCGTTTACGCTTCCGGGGCTCTGCCGAGTCGTCTCGGGCATCAATGTGTTTGATCCTAAGTTCAACATTGCAGCACCAGGGGCTGATCAGGATGTCTATTTCCCTTACACAGCGAAAGAACTGCGATTCACGTCGTTTCAACCCGCCATTGAGGAACTTTTGTTCAGTAAAGTTGAGAACAATGAGCATATGTGAGTCTTCATATAAATGCCTGCCATGCCATATTTTTTGTAGTATGAACCGTTTGTGTATATGAGATTACAAACCACTTCTCTGTTTTTTCATGAAACAGAGGATATCTAGCAGATAGGAAAAAGCCTATCATCTTCTCGATGGCGCGGCTCGATGTCGTCAAGAACATCACCGGGTTGGTCGAGTGGTTCGGGAAGAATGAGAAGCTGAGAAACTTGGTGAATCTTGTTGTGGTTGGGGGATTCTTTGATCCTTCCAAATCAAAGGACAGAGAAGAAATGGCAGAGATAAGAAAGATGCATGAATTGATTGACAAACACCAACTCAAAGGCCAGATCAGGTGGATAGCAGCACAGACTGATCGGCGCCGTAACGGAGAACTCTACCGCTGCATCGCGGACACGAAAGGAGCCTTTGTGCAGCCTGCTCTCTATGAAGCTTTTGGTCTCACAGTCATTGAGGCAATGAATTGTGGTCTACCAACCTTTGCTACTAACCAAGGGGGTCCAGCTGAGATCATAGTTGATGGGATCTCTGGCTTCCATATCGATCCCAACAACGGCGACGAATCGAGCAAAAAGATCGCCGACTTCTTCGAGAAGTGCAAGAGCGATCGCGCCTATTGGAACAACATTTCGAACGGTGGTCTGCAACGAATCAACGAATGGTAGTCACAAGAACTAGAAATACTTTTCAAAGTTATATTACATATTCTTGCACTTTTGACACCAAACTCTAATGATATTCTCTGTTTTGGAAGCTACACTTGGAAAATCTATGCAAATAAAGTGCTGAACATGGGAAGCACTTACACTTTTTGGAGGCAATTGAACAAGGACCAAAAGCAGGCAAAACAGAGATACAACCAAATGTTCTACAATCTGCTTTTCAAGAACTTGGTATGTTTTTGCTGCTGCAAATTTGCACATATCTTTGCAAAATTTATAACCCCTTTTCATCATGTTTTAAGTTACAAGCCTTTTCATTGTCTTCCCAGGTGAAGACCGTGCCGATTGCAGTCGACGAAAATCCGCAACCGGTACCCAAGTATGCAACAACAAATTCAACATTTACATTACACTTTCATACATATGGTTAAAAATTCAGGGTGAAACTAATCTGTAATGTTTGTTCTTCTTTTGCAGCACCAAGCGCACGCAATCTCGGGTTCAAAAGTAAGAAATCGGTTTCGAATTCAGGTTCGATGATCATCAATCCTCTTTGAACTCTAACATTTGGATATCATGAAATCAACTCAAAGATTTGAATCATATTTACCTTCAGGTTTTTGGAGCATAAAAAGGTCTAAGCCAAGAAACTCTTTACAAGAGAGTGTTGCCTTTCTACATAATATATATTCTCAAGAAGTCATAGATATATTGTAATTGGAATATGTATCCCTTTTACCTTATTGATGAAGAAGAGAATAATTTCAATGGTATTGATGCTGAATAAAGCTTTATAAGTTTTCTATTTTAGCATTTTTCTCTTCATAAGTTGATAAGAAAATATTGATTCTAGAAACTCTGCAAAATTGTCTCTATCTTTACTTAAAAATATATTGTAAAAGAAGTTTGTTGGTTGCAAAAATTATCCAATAATTTGTGAATCTCCATATAAAGTAAATTATGACAAGGTTTCAAAGCTTATCAAATTATTTTTATTAAAATATTACTGTTTTTGAAACGAAGTGACATCAAGATAAACATGTTAAAAAAAAAAAAAGATATGCATCTGAATTAAAACTTATGCTTCAAGGTGGAAATATTTTGATTGTGAAATAATTTTAAGACTTTTGCATTGTTTGATATTAGCTTCTAAATGATTTAATCTACTTGAGAACATGTGATTAATAGTCCTTTTAGCATAGTGAAATATATACTTGTTCCATATAAAACTTGTCATCTTAAAAAGAATATCACTTTTTCATGGGATAGAACCTATTAATTTATTCCAACACCAAGGTGAAGTAGAAAGGACATTGAAATATTTTTATAATAATGTTTTCGTTTATGAATTGTTTTAATAGTGAATACTTTCAACTAATTTTGTTTTAGACTACTAACAATACCATAATTAACTTTGTCTTAGCTATTAAGGTAATAAGACGAATAGTTTAGGTTTATTATAAACTTTTGCTAGGTGTCTTATTCCTTAATATTAACTACACGATAATTGACATATTTGGTTAGAAGTAATAGATAGATGAAAAAAAAAGTAGACCAGGGATAAAATAACCCTTCAAAATTGATGAATGTAATATAAATACAAAAAATGATTGAGTTGTAAATATGACATTTTTTAGATTAAATAACATCAATAAAATCTTAGACCTTAGGGACTTTTGAATTATAAATTGTCTATAAATTTTGATGGTGGTAATCAATTTAGACCTTAACTTAAAAAATATATAATAATTACATTCTATTACTTTGATTATTGTATCAATTTAGTCTTCCAACTTTTAATCAATTCTAATTATATATGTCCCAAAACTTTGATTTTTATTTTTATTTTTACGTGTAGTTCCAACCTTATTAACATCATTAATTAAATAGGCAGACTTATGGTACAAAAGATAGGATGGTTTCATATGGTATGATAGACCAATTGGTATAAGAAAAAATAATAGCAAGACAGAACTAGAAATCTATCAAATAGGATTTGATACGTGTTATCTCAAAAATGGAATGTATACGTAGCATATCTACTTTCGTCTATTATTTATTTGTCATATCGTGTCAAATCGATTCAAGTTTATGCAATAATAACATGTTATAATTTAGTTAACTACGATAGAAATTATACATAGAACTATAATTCAACGTTGGAGGGTAAACTCCTCTGGGCTGATCTGTCCTTCAATAGTGGAAATCACGACCTTTAGGTCGGGGCCAGTACTTAAACACATATGAAAGCACCCAAAGTGCCACACTTGGAGACAAGGAAGGATCCAAGAACATCCGCTTGGACCAGTGGTCTTTCGCTCGTCACTCACCCGAATAGGTAAATATCTTGATGGGACAGATAGCTATCATTCTTACCGCTATAAATACACCACTACCCCACAAATCCAATATGAAAATCTATCTGAAGTTGATATGTCTAAGCTCGGATTCCAAATTAACTTGGGCATCAGAGTGTCCTACCTATCCTTGCAAGGACCCCAGAGAAGCTCGCTTTGAACGTCTCTCATCGATCTAACAAGTCGCCTCTCGGGACTTAGGTAGATTTTGGCATCAACATTCAAGATTCTATCAAACATAGTTAGAATCTAATTTTTAAAGTTTTAAAGACAAAATGGAAACAACTTTCAAAGTTATAATCAATTAAAATTTGAAATTCAACAAACTCAAACAAAAAAAGAAACAAAAAACATAGGAAGTATCGATCTGCATAGAAAATAATGTTGAGAGAAAAGCTAAGTTCTTGCCCTCCCCACTTACATATATTATTATTCGTATATTAACTGTAAACTTTAAGTCACAGAAAGATTGAAAAAAAAATGTAAAGAAAAAAGAAAAAATCAATTATAATTAACCCAAATAGTACAAAGAGCCAATGAAGCAATGCTAAAGAAAATCACTGTGTTCTTCAAAATCAAGTTGAAGGCTCCCCCATTCACCTTTGATTTATTCCATTCCCCATCTTCACTTAGCAATTTTTCTCCATTTTCTTCTTCTTTTTCTTCTTCTTCTTGTGAATACACTGTGAAGATCAGCAGAAGCTCAAGAATTGAGACAATTTTTCTTTGGAAGTTATTCCATGGCTTCTTCAGCGATGACCCATTGAAGAAAGAGACTTTTCTTTCAGATGTCCTTTCGTGGAAACTAATTAAATTTGGGGCCGTGAAAGAGTTCAAGCTGTGGACTTTAACTGTCTCTGAAGGCATTGTTTGGTGGAAGAAGGTCTCCGCGACTTGTCGGGTCGAGATGAAGAGGCCGTGGTTGACCTTGATTTCTTCCACGACCTCGAAGCTTGGAGAGCTTGAATAGTGGGCTATTGTATTGTTTGATCCTTCCATGTCAAAGTTGATATGGTCTCGATCGTCGTCATTTATGAATGAGAGTGCAAAGTCGTCGTTCATTTGACTATTTTGATCTTCTGCAAGTAACATAGAAGAATCGTTAAGAATACAAATAGAACATCGCCAAATTTAGAGAAAAAAAAGTAACTTAGTTTTTATTTTTGAAATTTTACTAAAAATTCAAACCTGCTTTAAAGAAAAGTAAAAATTTTAATGAAGAGATAAAGTAAGCATAATTTTTAAAAACAGAAAACTAAAAATGGTTATTACGAGACTTTAACATTTTAGATTTAATAGTACTTTAACGTAATATCAGAACACAAGATGTTCTTGTAATATAATTTTTTCTGATAAAAAAAGAAAGGATTAAATTAATATAAAAATAAAACATAGGAGAAGGTTTTTTTCTAATAGAAAAAAGAAAATCTTTTGGGTTGATTAAAGAGATTAATTTAATTTGTGTGATTTGTATGTTACCTTGAAGCTGGTTTTGATCTTCCATTTGGAAGCTTGAAATGTTCTCTATGGGAACTAGCTTGGAGTCTTCCATGCAACTCTGTCCAATACATGTTTTAAACTTAATAAATTTCTAGTGAAAATAGTATTCAAATCATGGAAAGTTTTTTCAAAATATATAATAATAATAATAGAATATAAAAAAATCCTTATATAAATATAAATTTTGTTTTATTTCATTGTAATCCATTAGCTATTAAAAGAACCTCTTTGGGAGGATTTCGTTTTTAGCTCTCTATTTTTAAAAATTATGCTTGTTTTCTCACCGTTCTTTAGTATGTTTTTCACACTTGGTTTTAAATTTGGTTTAGATTTTAAAAAAGTTTTTGAAAGGTTGATAACAAGACAAAAGATTTGTAAAAGTTCGTCATAAAAATTTATTGGTATACCTCATCGAGGACTTGGTTAGACATCCCGACCCATCTCAAGTTCTCAACCCCGATAGCGCCATCCGCATCTCCGACGTCTATACACTTAGAATAGGGATCTTCCCACGAGCTCTCCACATCGAATCTTCCAACAGAGCTCCAATCTTGGAAGCAATCTTTGGGAGCCATGAAAGTGAAGTCGTCATTATTATTAGAACAAGTATAAACATTGGCAAGCCCTCCATCCCATGTTTCTGCTTCAACTACACAAGATTGGTTCGCTAGCTCATGAGAGGCCTGAGCCACTGAAAGAATCTCCTGCAATATGTCGGTCGACGTCTCGCTTCCACCGCCGAGCATGGCGGGGTTCACCGGTTGCGGCGTTTTGAAGTGGTCGGAGTAGCCGGAGTGAGGGAAGTCCTCCACCTCCAACGGTGGCAAAGTGAAACGGTGTTGTAACCTTGCACATTCTAAGGCTATGTCCACCTACGAGAACAACCCCATGATGTAACAAAGTGTTGAAGTAAATGAAGAATAATGAAGAAATTGATGGGAAAAAAACTCAACGAAAGCATCTATAATCGAATTTTAAAAACATTTGAACATATAGCATGATATCAAGTAGCCAAAAGAAAAAGAAAGAAAAAAAAAAGACCATACGAAAACACTCTTAGGGTTCTATCTCAAAACCAATTAGAGAGTAGTTCATGTATATTATAAATTCTACCAAATCTTGGTTCGGATCTCATTTTTTGAACCGTGGGATCCTTAACAAAACTACCACTAAATCCAAAAATTTAGATATTAATTTTATTCACGAAATCTAACATGTAAATAGATTAATATCAATTAGAGCAGAAATGATATTAAATTATCACTAAACCCAAAAGTTATTTTCTGATCTCTGATCTCTGGAGTCATAAGATTAGATATATTTGGTCATTTACATTTACTCTCTGAACAAAAACCTCCCAAGTTTATTTTTGTTAAATCAAATTAAAGTATACAGCCACTAAAATTTAACATCTACAAAAATAATCTTACCCCACCTAAATTTAGCTAAAGATCCCCAAACAGATAGCACCTTAATGAAGTCAAATTATCAATTTTAGAACTTATTCAAGTTCATGATGAAATTGAAATTGAACCACCGAGGGGGAAAAAAAACTTTGACCTAAATTCAATCCTCACCTTGGAAGGAGGGTATGGAATATTTGCATAACTTTGGAAAGAAGGGGCTGAATTAGAAGCTTCTTGAGATAAAAACCGAGACCATTTTCCTTCTCTTCTTCCACCAAACATGTCAAATGAACAATCCTTGTTAACCATATGGGATTGGAACCCATCAAATGGCATTGAATAATTTGAACTCTCTGGTTCTTCACATCTTCCTTCAGAGTAAAGCTCAGAAGATTGGTCACTATTAAGGAACTGGTTAGAGGATGAAGTAATATTGCAATACTGCTGATTGTCTTCTATTTTCGGGGCGATTGTAGTCGGACTCTTCTTGAACACGCGACAAAGCGCATACGCATCCTGATGAGACAAAAGATGAATATCGTATTAAATCACTGCTAGAGTACTTACAAAAACTTAAACGGATGGGTTATAGAGGACCTGCAAGCCATTTGAAGCGGCTTCACATTCCCGGTCATCGAGACGATACTCGTGCATGACCCAGTCGGTGCGGGCACCGTGGGGGGCTCGGCCGCGGTAGTAAACTAGGGTTTTCTTCATCCCCACAGGCCTTGATTGGGAATTCACTTTTCTGTCTTTCCCTGTGGCTTTCCAATACCCAGCTTTGGTTGCTCTATTGGTTCTTGACCCATTTGGGTACTTTCTATCACGAGGGCTGAAGAAGTACCACTCAAGATCCTTGCTTGGCAGCAATGACTTTCCTGTAATAAAAAACCCTAATTCATTTACTTAAAAAGATAATAATAATAAAAAGGAAAAAACCCTACTTCATTTAGTTGTTTTTTTTTGGAAGCTTGAAATTTAGAAAAATGGAAGCTTTGGAAGCACTGATTCTAAAGCTTCGAAGCCATGGATTCTTTTCTGTAACCCATCGTTCGTGTAGCTTTCTTTTTTGACTTGACTGTTTAGAAAATATTTGTCTCAATAGGAAGCTGCATAAATAAAGGGCAGAGAGAGAGAACTTTTCTTTAATAAAGCTAATCCCCCACCACAAACAAAATTGACCCATAATAAAGCACCATCATTTCTCTTTTTCTTTGATTTATGCTCTCTTTTAACTAATAACTAATCAGAAGAAAGAAGGAAGGAAAAAAAAAGATGTAATTTTTCATGGAGTATAAGGAAAAAAAATGTAATCTTTATCATGGAATACTTGTATTTGATGGTAGGGGAAATATTTCTTCTTTTTCTTGCCACTGTCTTCGTTATCTCTTCAAATTTTCAAGTAGTTTAACTATTTGATATAACATTGCTGAAAGCATCTTTTCATGACTGTATATGACGTTCAGATGTTGTCTATTTAGAATTACACTACTTAAAATATCTCATAGGCTAATTTGAGATATTATCTTTATTTATATATTATTCTGGATCTCTTCTCTAGGTAAGACATCGGGAGGAGAGAAAGGAAGGAGAAAAATCAAAAGATGGAAAGCGAATGAATTACGGCGGAGTTGATTAGTACCTGGCAAATCCCATGGCTCACATTTGTAAAGATCAACTTCAGGGATGATCTCGAGCTCAATCTCGCGGCCATTGATCTTGCGTTTGAGGTAGTATGCAACGAGTTCCTCGTCGGTCGGGTGGAATCGGAAACCGGGTGGCAATGAAACAGGAGCCATGTAATAGTTAATATGTGCAAGAGATTAGGACACAGGCCTCAAACAAAAAACACTGAGACCAGCCCTACCAAATGAATCACCTCCAAACCCTACAAACACATAAATATCATCATATGGGTCAAAGCAGATGTTTTAAAAGAAGAAAAAAAAAAAGGATAGAGAGAGAGAGAGAAACCTCAATTTGGAGATGAAAAATGGTAGAGTTTGAGAGGAAGAGGGAGAAGAAATGTGGGAGTTTGGGATTGGATATGAAGGGGTTCTGTTAAGATGCAAACAAAAAGAAAAGAAAAAGAAAAAGGCAAAAGAATAAAAATAAAAAAACAACAATAATAACAAGGTATTTTTTTGGCTTTAGCTGCTTTTGATTAGTTTATTTAATTGATTGTGGGTATGGAAATTATCCCATGCTTCGTACTTGTTCTTTTCTTGGATTCGGATCCACATGGAGTTGTATGTTTTTTGTTTTGTTCGATTGATTTGTGTTGTACAAGGAACAGCATATATTATAACCTTAGCTTAAACTAAACCCACTGTTGTTGGAGAACTAATGTCTCTTTCACATGCACTTTCCTTTATCTTCCACCGATCTATTTTATTGTCCCAAAAATCGCCAGCTTTTTTGTTTCCTTTCATTTCTTTTGACCACTTACAATAATATGTTGTTTTTTTCTTTTTGGAGGATAGAACTATCATTTATGAGGGGTCCTTTGAAGTTAGAGTTTAATGTGTATATAGTTTCTATAGGATTGTAGTCTATATTAAAGTATAGATTACTATCCAAGGAATAGCTTGGTGGCTTGAGGCCTCAAGGAATAACCTTGAGGTCTTGGATTTTCAAGCCACATGGGACGTAACTTCCACTGAGTGATGACTTCTTGCGTATGTACAGGTATGGGGACAATGTGCATACCTTAGGTATAGGGGCATAAAGGCTAAAGGGCGCGCCACTGGTTCTTGGGTAATAAAAAAAAAAAAAATTAGTATAGGTTATGTTGGTAATCCTCACGGCTCTACTTTTGGTTTCACCCAAAAGGCCTCACACAACGGAGGTAATTGTCATTATTTATATACCATGAATCACTCTCTTAATTCCGTAGTCAATGTGAGATTTTGTTTGCACTCCTTACAAAACCCAACAATCCACCTCTCGAACAAAGTATCACCGAGTCTCTCCTCAACTAGTCATGTCAACTCTCGGACCAGAACAAGAGCCTTGCTCTTATCTAAAGCTTCAGGCACACCATAATAGAACACAATCACGGATCACATAACAACTACATCTTTCGAGGTTCACTATTTCTTTGTTTGACACTTAAGGATTTCATCGACACAGCTAGCTAGGTTAATTTAGACCATGGCTCTAATACTATTTGTTAAGGACAACGGGTACCCCTAGTACCCAAAGTATCTCTACAATGGTATAATATTGTCCGCTTTGGATATAACCCTCACGACTTTGCTTTTGGTTTCACCCAAAAAACCTCACACCAATGAAGATAGTTGTCCCCATTTATATACCATAGATCACTCCCTTCCTTAACCAATATGAAACTTTGTTTGCACTCCTTACCAACCCAATAATCTTAGATGGGATGATGCTGAAATGTACAGAAATGACCAAATTTCCACATTTGGTTAGGAATAAGAAAGATCGTGAACATATAAGTTAAAGACAATAATATCTCTAATGAATTATTTGGAGTGAAATCAAAAGTAAAATTTATGAAAGCTTATACTGAGGCGAACCATAAATATATCATACTATTGTATTATTGATATATGTGACGAGTCGATTGCCCTTAATAAATTCTTCTTTTATTTAATACATTTTGGTAGTGCATAAAACAAGTTTGTTCTTAAATTAGTATTGAAATGTTTTCAGTGCAAAAGTAAAAGAGTATGATGACGTAATTATTACTCTTCAGATCACAGAAATCGAGGAGAGCCCACAATCTCTCCTACATTTGCATGTGGAAGTTCAATGTATTTAATATATGTGGATATAAAATATCTTGCAAAGTCTATTTCATTTGAAGTTTCATAATTTAAGGTTTAAATCTTCTTCTCATTTTTCTCTTTGTTATATATAAAGGATTACCCATAACCATTTTAAAATGCCCTTTTGTTTTGCAATACTAATGTATGTTCAAAATAGTATTTTATAGTTACAAAAGATATTAAAATTAATCGGTCTAATTTATTACCATTTTGACTACCGTAGTTTCTAATGTAATTTTTAGTAAAAGGTTTGAATTCACACTCTTAAATTTGTATAAATTTGTATGATAAATTAATTTCTTTTACCATACTAAATTTGAACTATTCTAAGTTTTTTTTTTTTCGTATAACATGTGGAGAAGGAAGATTCAAATTCACGACCTTTTAATCGAATATAAATCTTTGAATCCATTGAATTATGGACAGATTCATTATTCTAAATCTTTTTTAAGTCTATTACAAAAATAAAATGAAAACAAAAAAAAGGTCTAAATAAAAACCAAATGAGTAATTGAAGTGGGAAGAAAAAGAAACAAAATTGTGAACAATTGAGGGATGTGGAAAAAGAGAACAAATGGGCCCATTGGGACCCACGTGGGGCCAGCTTTAGCCACGTGGCAGAACAGGATAATGTGTACGTCATCTCTTACTTTTGGTAGGAAATGGAAATGTTCCAAAATTCTTCCAATCAATGCTTTTCCTTTTCATCAATCAACCTTTTGGTGCTTTTTCCTCCTTTATGGTCCATGTCTGATGCTCCACCTATTTTCCTTTTTTTTTCCTAATTATTCTTTAATGTGATAGTTATTAAAAAGTTAAAATGATAGAAGTTTTTTATCTAAATTTTTTTTACTACAATAATATGCCAGGGAAGTTGAAATCGATTTATAAGACCTTTTGATTGAAGATATATACTTTAGTCAGTTGAAGTATGCTCAGATTGACATTTTCTTATAATATTATAAATGTGTAGTGAGAATTTGAACCTAATAAAGAATGTTACTATTGTTTTGAATCTAGGATTGCATTTGACTATTAACAAAAATATAAATATTGAATAATATTAAATTTTTGTTTAATTAAGAAAATCTTATGTTAAATTATAAATTTATTGTTAAAGGGAGGTAGCTCTCGTGAGGAGTCACTAGAGAAATTTTTACCATTTGACATTTTGATGTAAATGTGCATAGTAAATCCTATTAGGATACCCTTCCTTTTTAAACTCGAAGCAAGTTAAAGTTTAGTGAAAAAAGGTTTGGAGGTTTGATGACTCTCAAACGTAATCAAGATTTATTGGATCAGAGTCGTTGTTAATTTATCATGTTTCAGTTAACATCTTTAAATAGACCTAATTATCGAGTACCATAGTTGCTCCCGACTCGAGATTTGTATCTTTACTTTTAATATATTTTGAAAGGGAAAAAAAAGAGGCTTAAAATTGTGAATTTGGAAGGCATAAAGAATGTATAAAATTGTATAGGGGTAGGCGTAGGGGATGATAGGTGTGAAATAAAACTCTCTCCCTTCAAATTTAAACTTTTGTGGGGGAAATCGCATCTTTAGTTTGAGCAAAACCTACGCATTATACATATACAAAACTTGTCCATGTTTCCAACCCAATCATATATATAATATTAATATACTATACGTATATATAATACAACATAAACAATATTGTACTCTTTTTTTTGGGGGGGTTACAAATTACTTTTAATTATGAAATTGTCACTGCACATGTTTGATTTCAAATGGTTATTTATCGGTTAAATTACAACTTTAGTTTTGAACCTTTTGTGCCTATAGCAGGTATTTCAACTTTAAAAAGTGTTTAATAGCTGTTTATGATGAGAAAAAAATCTTCTACTTCTTATCGCATGAATAAGCAGAAAATAACTGAAAAATTTAAAGAAAACAATAAAATAAAGAAACACAAGAATTAACGTGGAAAAACTCCAAACCGAATAAAAAACCACACCCACAAGGGAGAATCCACTATGTGAAAAATTATTACCTCCCCGACCTCAATTACACAAAACACTATTCAAAACAAATACTGCTCAGTTAACTAGTAGTTGGAACACACCTCCTCCTTGTACCTTTATGATATGGGACAACTTCTACTACTTGGTGAGTACATTCTCTCCTTGTATCTTTCTGACGTGGGACAAACTTCAATTCTAATATTTTGCCAAAATCCAACAATTTGAACTTTCAATTTTATGTCTGTTACGTCCTTGTCATATTCGACATTTTGTAACATTCATGGGCCTATTAGAAATAAAATTCATCCTAAGACCACAACTTTTCAATTTTATGTTTCATAAGTATTTGAGAATTTTTAAAGTTTTCGAATATGACAACACCTACTAGACATAAAAGTAGAAAATTTTAGGAACTTACTAGACATTTTTTTAAACTTCAATGATTTATTAAACACAAAAGTGAAAGTTCAAAGGTCTATTATAGACACAATCGAAAGTGAAGTTTAGAGATCTATTATAGACACAACCCTCAAATTTTATCAACTAAACTTATAATTTAACCTTATTTACCCATCTCTACCGCATTAAAGTTTTCTTTTACCTTATCCAACTTCTCTTGTTCAAAAAATTTCACCTACAACCTCGTAGAACTCACTATTGGTCTAAGGCATGATTCCAAAATCAGACAACCTCAAATAAATGGACTATTATATAAAATGTGAGAAAATATGAAATAGTAAATATTCGAACATAGAACCCGATGTCATATGATAGGTTAAATATATTTACTTTTAGATATATTCTCTAACATCAACTAGGTTACCAACACGAAGATAACTCAAACGGTTTAAGGTACATTACTCATTTTGTTAAGATCAAAGGGTCAATCTCCAATCTCTACCTTTGTAGTACTTAAAAAAAACTAAAGAATTAGGTTAAAATTATAAAAAAAATGGAATCTTTTTTAGTATGAACATTAATTTTGTATAGAATTAAAAATGTTAAGCTCTAAGAATTTGAAGTCCAATTTGGGATAGATGGATGGATACATTGTGTCTAAGATGTGTTCAGACCAGTTCTTAAGAATTGTCTCAAGCCATAAGGTGGGACCATTTTATAATTATAAGTTATTTGTCACTCATTGTTGAATTATTAATTGTTATTTTTGTGAAAAGGAATAGAGAGGAAGTTTGGAATATTTTATTGTCTTATTTATATGGCCAAGAAAAAAAATTCATTAATTAATTCGTGCCAAGCACCTTGATACTACGACCGAAAGTATTCCTTGATGCACCTTCCTCTCTTTATTATTATTTTTTTATTATATAAAATTCATTCACTAAATTGAAGCTGGAATAAATTAATTAAAACCCGAACGTAGTTTAACTGATTAAGATATATATAATTAACTTTTTGTGCTTTATTTTATTTCTCAATTTCATAATAATATTCAATTTTTTCATGCTATTATTACTTCTTAATATTTATTATGCATTTTATAAGTCAAGAATGATAAAACAATACTTTTGTTCACGTTTTGGAAAAAAAAAATTGGAAAAAGAGACAAGAAACAAGAAACTCGATTTTATTGTTTCAAAATTTTCTATACAATTTTGGAAATATTTCTAAAAAAAAAGAGAAATAAAAACCATAAACAATTGTCAAATGCTTAGATTTCTCAATAAAATTGAAAACAAGAAACAAAAAACGACAATATTACCAAACAGACCCTAAATTACTAGATGGAACTAAAAACAAAAGTGAGACAACAAAGTGAAAACAAAAGCCACCTAACTAAGTGGATCATAATCCAATGACCAAATGAGATTAAAATCAATAGATAATAGATAGTAGTCAAATTAATTAGGTGAGACCAACACAGCGAGCATAACTCAGCGTGACATATGTCTCCAACCAGGTTGTAAGTTCGATCTCAATCCTGTACTAAAAAAAATTAGGTGAGACCAGAAGTCACCATCGAGTAGCGCTATAGCCGAACCAAGTGAGACGAGAAGTCATCTTTAAGTTCAAGTAGATCCTAATCACCAATTAAGTAAGACGATAAGCTATTAGATGGGTTGTAATTCGACTAGGTGAGATTATAAGTCACAATACACAAATTCAACCATTTCCCACTATTTGGAATTCAAAATCACACCAAAAGTTAAAAACTTCACAATACAATCCAAACTCTTAAAATAACCCACGAACACACCAAAATCACAAAAGAAAAAAAAGACACCATTGAAATTTGAAAAGAACAATCATGTGGGGAAGATCATGGTGATATGATCATGTTGAATATTGAGAAGCCCAACATGTTTTTATTCAAGCCCTAGGTTCTTTCTCATGGAGGTGACAAACTCATAGACCTTCGTAGGGCAAGAAATGGCACTGCCCACACTCTCCTTTAGCAAACATCTCTTTTGCCAAGCTGACAACTTGGGGCTGTGTTCTTCCACTTTAAAGTTTCCAACTTTCTCATAAGCATAGAACCAACTTGTCAATGGGATTGCAATCACATCCACAATCCCCAACCTTTCACCTCCAAAGAAATCTTTGTCCCCTAAAGCTTCCTCCAATTGCTTCACAATCTCTAGGAACTCCTTCTTTGCTCCCTCTTGCTCGTCTCCGTTGCTCCTCCAGATTTTGGAACCCGTTTCAAATACCTAAACCGAAAAGAAACTGGTGAAAGATTTTACTGGTTGAGGTCGAAAATTTAGAAATATAAATAATGCTGTGTGGTATAGATCGATGATGATGTTGAATTGTCACACTCATCTCAAAAGATTAAACCATTCGACTATTAGAGTAAGTTTAAACTTGGTACGATTTTGTGTTTAGGTAGCTGGAAACGTTAAGAAGATGAATTACAAAAGTTAAAAAATGGACAGTTGCCTGACCCAACAACATTTGGCGTCAAGAAACACATAAAAATTAATTCTTTAAGTTAGCTAGGCGTCCATTTGGACCAATAAATCACCTATGATGGTTTTCTAATATATATGATATTGTATTTTCATGAGTCTATTTCTACTGCATATAATAGATAAATGAGTCCCACTCGAATTTGTTAGCCTCTAAAAATACAACACACAAGAATAAGTCATTAGAAACTGTTATCGGCCGATATTACTATAAACAAAAAATTTTCTTTATCAAAGACCAGGTCCTTTTCTTGGATAGCTACAATTTTATGCATAATCTATTTTCAAATACAATTTAAAAAATTTGGCCAAATTTTAAGAACTAAGAAAGTTAAATTTGGAACTACCTAACAAAATCATGAACAAACGCAACCTTTAAACTTAAACAGCTAGAGTACGAAGAACAACGACAAACCTTTTTATCGATGTAGTCAATCCAGAACCGAGCTTGAGCTCTTTCGTACGGCGAAGAAGGAAGAAGAGGAGAAGGGGAAGGCCAAGTCTCATCAATATAGTGAACAATGATGGAGCTTTCATTCAATGGCTTCCCATTGTGCAAGAGAACAGGCACTTTCTTGTAAACAGGGTTGGATTTGAGCAACAACTCACTTTTCCCACATTTCCAACCAAACAAATCCTCTTCTCTACTCTCATAACCCAATCCCTTCTCATTCAAAGCAATCTTAACCCTACAACAGAATGGGCTGAGCAAACAGTCCAAAATGATTATCTCCTCTTTAGACATCTTCAAGATTTTTCCCTTTTTCTCCCTCTCTAAAAAGGCTCCTTTTTGTCTCTGTCTCTCTCTGGTTGAGCTCTCTTTGGGCTGCTTGTGAATTGAGGAGGAGGATGAGATGTTTATATAGAGATTGGCATGTTAACAATGTGGTTGGCTTGTTCTTCAATGGGTTTTGGTTTTTTCTTTCATTGTTTTGTGATTGTGATTCTCATTTTAAGACTAATTAAAACCAAAACTTTGTTGGTGAAGCATTGGAGTAATTGATATAATGGAGAGTGGGGACAGCTGAACAAGGAAGTATATATAATAATGTGCATAGTTTACAAGGTCAATGCATAGTTTACAAGGTCAATGAAAGAAACTATGATCACCATATGCATGACCTGGCTTTGTTTTATTATAATAATGCTTCAAGAGGAATTGAGTTTAGGAGTGTCATCGGAGCGGGGCGGGAATAGGGATGGCTTCTCCATTCTCGTCCCCGCCCTCCATTTCATTTTACGTCTCTGTGAAATTCTCCATAGAATTTTTTGGGGATAAGAGTGAGGATTTCTTATGGGAAACTCGTAGGGATTCGGTTCCTGGTAGGAAATTATTTCCTCGTGCATTGGTAATTTGAATTGTGAAATGTATATATAACGGAACGGGGATGAGAACATGGACAAAATATCTCCACCCTTGCTTCACGAGAAGCTTAAACGGGGATTCCCTACCCTTTATGGGCCCGTCCTGGGAAAAATAACATTCTAGTTAACTGAGTTTCACAATGGGTGAAGTTCGGGTGTTCAAAAAACCCGACAAACCCAACCCAAACCGTAAGGGTTGGATTTGGTTAGATGAAGCCTCGGATTGGGTTGAGTTGTAATTTTTCCCAACACGATCGAGTTGGATCGGGTCTCCGGTTCAATCTTTAAAAAATCGGGTCAACCCAACTCAACCCGAATTTATGCATATATGTGTATTTTTCTTAATTATATATATAATAATATCTTTATCTTCAATGTCAACCGTCCATTTAGTGTTAATCCTAACATTTTATTTAAGGATTTTATATTATCTTCTTCCATTTTGTATCTTAATTCCAACTATCCTAATCACAACTCCCCTTCACTTTCGTGGTAATTAAAAATTAAAAAGAAAAACACAAACCCAAAAATATTGAGTTGGGTTGAGTTGACCATCCAATTCAAACCCGACAGTTTCTATATATGGTCAATCTGAAAATTCGGAGTAGTCCCAAAATCCTCCTATCCCGACCCAACCCGTAAACACCCCTACTTTAAAGCAAGAATTTGGGTAATTAATATATAATTTCGTCCAGTGTTATTGTTTAATTTCATTCCTAATTGTATATTTCGGGTTAGTTAAGCTATATTATATGTTGGAACATGTGAAGCTGAAGGGAATAGATTTTCAATTTTATGGGTTGGCCTGATCTCTATTTTGTTAATCAAGTATTCCCAACTTAGCTAACAAAAATGTATTTGATCTCACACATCAATCTGTTCCACCTGCATTATAACAAAACTCAATCCTCTACATTCTACAAGATCAAATTGCCATATATCCTTAACCTTCACAAATACCCCACTGTTCTTGTACAGTTGATGAAGAAACGAAAAGGAAAATCTATTACCCTTCGCCCAAGAAAGAACAAAGATAAATTAAGCACAAAAAATAAACCCATACAAACCCCTTGTATATATGCCTACAGGAGAGGATGGAGAACTAGCTAAAAAAACTTTTACAGACAAAAATTACTTTTAAGTGGAAAATTTCAAGATTCGAATTGCTTGCCTTCAAAAGTCTGCTCAAAGTTCCAATTCTTTGGAGCGACATTGTAGGAGGTAATTGTTACTCCATCACTGCTAGTCACTTCAAAGGAGAGGGCTTGATTGTTCAAATCAGCATTAATATGCCAGTTTTGCCCCCAGTTTCGGCCCATCGGGAGCCAACCGGTTCTCGAGCCCTTGATCTTTACAGCACTGACATCTCCAGCGCCTGCAACATTACTTATCAACACCGAGAGGTAGATGCCATACCCAGAAATCGTGTATCGAACTCCCCCCTCTTTCCGGCACTTGATCCTGTGAAAGCGAGATCAACAAATATTAAGACTCCTGTATTAGAAAGATGAACCAAGGGCAATTGGAGACCAAGCAGCATTTTCATACAAGTCTCACTATTGTAATCACTTTTTTCTCTCCTTTTTTTGACAAGTAGAAGAGAAATTTAAGAAAAAGAAAGGATAGATATCCGTCGATGCAGCCGACAAACAAGCCATATATCATGGTTCATGGCATTTTCAATATAACTTTAGCTTCCCTTTTGGACGTATGACCATAGAGAGGTTGATCCAATGGTCGAGTATCAAAGAGAACTAACCATTTAAAACCTATGGAAGAATTCCTTCTTCTTAATTAAGTTTCCTAAATCCAAACCACCTCTTGTAAGGGGAAGGGAAACAAACCATAAACAAATTCACTAGGTGACTACTTTAACGGTGAGATCCATCTACAAAGAAAGTTTCTAAAGAAGTTCTCCATCTCTGTTGCCACACTCTTAGGCCAAATGAACAAGAACATGGAACGTGTCGGCATACACAAAAGCACAAATATTGGATCAACATTAATTCTATCTCCCTCTCTAAGAAAGTTACTTCCTCTATTTAGATAGTTACCCTTGAACTTTTTCCATGCATTGGACCCAATCAGTCAGTGATTTAGTATTTCCTTTCAAAGGTATTCCAATTACCTCTAACACATGAACATCTACTTGCTTCATTTGCTTTATTTACTCCAACTATCATAGTTGATGTCCAACGGACTGATTTCAATTTTATTCTCACTCTAGAAGTCCAATAATAGGTATTAAGAATTTGGAGTAAATTATGAAGCTTCTCATTAGCTTCAGTAACAATTACAGTATCATTTCTGGACTGAAGGTAGCTGGCGTATGAATAATATCCTTTTAAATGTGAAAACTTCCAACCAGCCTAGTGCCTCTCTCAATAAATCAACTCAAAGTACTGAGAACAAACCAGAAAAATGGAGAAAAATCTCCTTGAAGCTTTTATTCTCACATGAGATTTTCGCTGAAGAAAATGAGAGAGGTTGGCATCCTGATGCAGCTTGTTGTGCATCTTCCCCAAGTCAACCGAAAGCCTTTTCTTCCTCTAAGCACTGATTGGAATAAAATCCACGCTAACCATATCATATACAATTTAAATTACCCATCCTGTTAGCAGCCTCCAACTCATTAGCTACAACTTACAACAGATGCAAAATCTCACAAAAGGCAGGTCTTTTCAAGCTGTATAGGGAAGCACTTTTTACATAATTTCAAGAGGACCCTAGCAAATATCTTAATACTGTTGTAGAAGCCTGTGACAAATACTTACTGGCCTATAATCTGCAATTCTGATGGCTCTAATTTTCTTTGGGATGAGACATATAAATTAGGTATTTATGACCACTCCTCTCTCAAAAAAGTCATGGAACACCTAAGGACTATCCTTTTTAAAGACGTTTCATGCCTTTTTTAAAAAAATCTACAGAACACCTAGCAGGGGTGCAAGATTGCATACTGAAAGGACTCTTAAATGTGTCACAGATTTAAGAAACTTCAAAGGAATCCTTTCATTACAAGGAACTTAACAAGAAAACCCATCAGGATTACAAGAGGTTTTAAAACCTTTACAGATTTGAACTTCAAAAACTCAAAATCTCTTTGTCCACAAACGTTTCATCCAACAAGCTCCTACAACCTTCCCCAGGTTGAATCTCACAAGTAAATTGCTTTCTTAGTTTCTTATTCTTGCTCAAGCAAATCCCTTCTTGCAGATTGCATATCCCACAACTCTAAAATGAATCTAACCTAAAAGAAAAGTGTTAAGACCGGGTCCTGGTAAGATTTTCAATTGGTTCCTAATTAGCTTTCACCTTTTAGCGTTCTCTAAATGGGAAAACTAGATAAATACATGCCACACAAGCATTACCATTAGACATCAATATAAATTTCCAAGAATTATCTTTCACCTTTACTTCATGATTGTAAATTTGAAATGCCTTTGTTACTGCAATATAAATGTCACATTTCTCTCAGAAATGTAACAAGAATAACAGTTAACTTCCTATCAGGGTAACAAGAATAACAGTTCCTTTCCTTACAAGATCCCTGCCTCTAAACTCTAAAAACCACAAGAGCATTCATTTTTAAATTTAAAGTTTCTAAAGGAAAATATCAAATATAACATCACTAGAGTTCTTGTCGGTTGTTATTAATACCCAACTAGATTTTTCAAACTAATTGAAGATTATACTCATCACTATGTTGCGTTGAAGATTGTGTAAGCTATTAAAACCTCCAAGTAATCAGAAATCAGCATCTATCAAGCTTGTTTTTTTCTTTTTAATTTGGAACTATAACATTGTGAAGAGTCATCATAAATTTTTTTGGATAAGAAACCAAGCTGTCATCGAGATAAAATGAAAGAATATACAATGGCCATACAAAAAACAAGCCCAATAAATACCGTGAATCCAAAAGAATACCGCTTAACTGATAATTACAAAAAGCCTTCTAAACCGACACCTAGAGAGGTATTAAATCTAAAAATATCCCAAATTTCCTCCCAAATTCCTCACAATCCCTCTCAACCCCCTAAAAATTCAAGCCAAATACCCCACAAAATAGGGAAAAAAGTCTGCTACATTAGGATTCCCCTATCCCGAGAAGGGAGAAACAACAAAACCTCCTCCATCATCACCCTACACCCCCTGTTAGGAGCCAAGGAACTTTGGCTTATTAAGGAATGATGACATCAGAAATAAGTCAAATGCAAGTATGTTAAGGAACGTTTGTTATTCTGATCTTTACTTTACCAGTTAATTAGGCTTTAGTTAGAGGAGGTTAACCGTGTCTTAAAATAGACATTAATTCTGATCTAACTAACCATTCCAGTGAAACAAACAATATCATTTTTAACCTCTCAAGTTCGCAATGTTCTCTCTCTAGAACCTTGTTTAAATTTTACCATAAATTTAAAAAACCGTAAATGGCTGCGAGTCTAACAAAGTCCATCTAATATATAGCTGAAGGAAACCACAGTTACAATGGTTTTTCATACAGCAACAGAGTCAGACGTATCGGAAAGTTAAATCATACATAACATCATGTAGTAACTAGTCAGCAAACTTCACGATGTTTACGGCTCAGATCAAGTCATATAAACGTATTCCAATGGTTAACAAGTGAGTAAAATTAGAGTACTTAGTAGAGCATTCAAAGATCTCAGTCCCATAGTTTTACTGATTTCAATCCTCAATCAGATCATCCAAAAGAAAGACAAAGAAGAGATGCGAGTTGCAAGACGCGATACATACCTCCGATACTGAACAGGCATGTTTCCGGCCTTCCAGATAGCGATCTTCTCAAACGCTTCAATCGGGAGCACAAAATGCTTATTAGGAGGGTTACAATGGCCTCCACCCTCAGCCGTGAAGCCATAATTAGGCGCACAAAAATTAGTAACAGTGACAATGATGGAGGTGCCAGGGATACACCAGCGGAGGTCCTCAACGCACCTAAGCTGGAAGCAGGCGCCGCAGATCTGGCCGCGTTCGAATAGCGCCTCACTGAGCCCCACCGTGGCCATGCCATACCCTGCCTTCACTAAATCGCCATATCCACACGCTCCGCCCACCGAATCCCGGGGATCGGCGGCGGCGTAGTAAGTAGCTCGAGCAGATCTCCACTCGGAGAGCGACGGCGCGGCCTCCGGCGACGGCGGAGAGGTGGAAGAAGAGAAATGGGAGGCTACGGGAGATGCGAGAGCTGCTGCAACTGTGAACAGGAAGAAGTGAAGTGGAAGAGATGGCGACATCACTCCGCAGAGAGAGTGAGGGGCAAAGTGGGGAAGAAATAAAAATTGTAATTACTATTTTTGAAATCGGTGAATTTATATTATCGTAAAAAAAGGATTATAAAGTTTTTTTTTTAATTAATTAATTTAACTGAAGTGAATAGTTTTGTTAGTTCCGCATAGAATATGTATAAATTGTGGGGTTTCATCTTCCAAATGCTTTATCTCGTCATGTCGGTTATGGAATCGAGGGAGAACAAAAGAAAAAGACATCTTTTTCTTTTGGAAAAATAAATAAAATAAAAATAAAGATGGATAAAATCATTTTATTAGGATTCCATTACTAACTTTATTATCCCAAATTAGATAAATCGTTTAACTTTAATTTAAAATGTGCTGGTAGATTCTTCCATTTTTAATCTTATCTTTAAACATTTAAACATTTAATACTGTGTCTAATATATTTTTAAACTCTCAATTTTTTATTCAATAGATAAATGAAGGGATTATTAAACACAAAATAAAAAAATTTGGAAACTTATTAAATACAAAATCAAAAGTTTAGGAATTCTATTAAAACTTCAACATTTAAAGTTTGAAGGTGTATTAGACACTTTTTAAAGTTCTAACACTTATTAGACATAATTTTAAAAGTTCATAAATCAAACTTAAAATTTAACCTTTTTTAGTTCAACAACATGTAAAATGGAGATTTGAACATTTGATTTTTTGGTCGAGTCGAGGATGTATGTCATGAGTTATGTTCAAGTTGGCATAACCGACCATCTATTTGATATCCTTAAAAATTGGAAAATTGTTTGTGTTGGGATTGAAGACAAAAGAATAATAAAATTGAAACTTATTGGATTAAGTAAAACTAAAAGTCCAAGACCTAAATCTCTTTATGTTGCCTTATTTTCATACCTCAACTTCAGTCGTGGGAATTGAACTTTTTGTGGTTACACAAAATTGAGGAGTGTGGCGGCAGTGGTTGGTTGGCAGAGAAAGAGGAGAGAAAAGTGGTTTGTAGAGCATTGTCGGCAATCCGTTCTCTTGAGGTTAGTAAGGTTTTTCGTTCTGTATTCCTAAGTATCTATTGGTATAGTACTTAAAAGCTAGTTGACCATTGTTGTGGCATCTAGAGGGTGCTTTGTAGAGCGTTTGTGAGGTCAATTGTATTTATCCCAAAATCATAGTAGAACTCGTTGTTGTGGAAGATTGGACGTAGCCCATAATTGGGGTGAATTAGTATAAATTGCGTGTGTCATTTTCTGTGCTTTCCCTATTTTTCTTAGTATTGTGTGTGACTTAGTTTTCATTGACGAACTGTGTAATGAGAAAAATATTATTGGTGAATAAATTTTCCCAACAGTTTGGCTTTGATTGCTTTGAATCAAGTCTCAATCACCTAGGATTAAATTATATTTTGCCTCAAAACTTTTATACATTCAAACACTATGTTATACATACATATATATGCATGCATGTGTGTACGTGTACACTCTTAGTCTTTAGGATTTGAGCTTAATTTCAATTTGGATCTTATAGTTTAATTAGCCGACTGTTCACAAATCATTATTCTTATAATGACCATCATATCGAATATGAGACACTTCTTTTTCTTTTTTTTTACCGTACCAATGAACTGATATTATCTATTTAATTAACCATGTTAGTTGATTATATTAAGACAAATGATTGATCAAGAAAATAAGCAAAAATATGTGAGGTTCTTTTAAGGTAAAAAAATGGTTTATGGATTATTTGTGAAGTTTAACCAAACTATAGAGATCAAATTGAAACTTTCGGGATTTGAAATTTGATCAAACAATACAAGAACTAAATTTGTAACTTAATCATTACATTTTCATTTTAAGAAATATTTCTCAATAGTTTATGAAAGTGTATTGGCCCTTAATTAACATATTATTTTGGTTCCTATACTTTTCACTTTAGTTCATTTTGATCCCTGTAAATGTTCATTTTAGTCGATCTACTTTCAACTTAGATTCATTTTAGCCCCAATACTTTTAAAATGTTTGTTTTGGTCTATATACTTTTCAAAAGCGGTCATTTTACTACTTATGTTCAAACTTTTAACACAAATTCTATATATAATGGAAACTATTTAATATAAAGTCATGGTTACATTTCAATAAATATATTGAGTTCATTGAAATTGTGATAGAAAAATGAGATTAAAAATAAAATTAAGGGACTAAAATGGTCACCTTTAAAAATACAATGATCAAAACGAACATTTCAAAGTAGAAGAATTAAAATGAACCCAAAATTAAAAGTAGAATGACAAAAAATAATATATAAACTTTAGAAAGAAATTGGAAATTTAAATGATAGGGTAATGTATCTTTTGAAAATGTAGATAAAAGAAGAAAGTGTCGGTTGAAGTGCAATGGTGAATGGCCCTTTCCCTATTCCCTCCCAATTAAAATATGGGACCCTTCAAAATACTTGCTGCTCAATACTCAATTGATCTTCTCTCAATAAATAATGCACAAAAAGCAAGTTGAGGGAAGTACTCTGTATTGTGTCTAAATCCTTGCTCGGACCAAATCTTTTATTCATTGCATTAAAAAAATTGACAACTCATTAATTTTTTAAAAAAGTCTCTATTTGTACGCATTTTTCTGTTAGTTGTCAAATATTTAATGGTGATGAGGACGAGATTGGTCTTCATTAGTAAGGCTAATCAAGTATTTTCTATTCAATTTTGAGTTTTAAAGAGGAATTTTCGTCCTTTTGCTGATGATTTGTCTTCGGCAAAAAAATTTAATTTCTAGTAGGAGATGGTTATTTTTTAGTACAATATGTGGGATGGAAGATTGAATTTACAACCTCTAGTTGGGGATGATTATTATAATGAAATAGTAAAGAATTGTTATAGATGAAGATTTTTGTTGATACTGATTGAAATTTTTCAAATTTTATTTTATTCATCAATGTAATGTCTTTTTAGGACAAAAATGTGGAGTGTGAGAATTTGGACTTTCAACCTCAAAAGAATGAACTTCGTATCTTTACCATTGAACTATGCTAATACCAATGGAATATTAATACTTGTTTGAATTGATTTGTAATCTAATTTCAACACTGATATATGATCTTTAAGCATACAAGTGTGGAGTTGATCTATTGTGGAATTTGATCAACAGATATGATGTTTTTTATAATGAAGTATAGTTGATAATAGATGATATCAATGAAAGATGTAGAAATAGGGCTGTCGAAGGAATCTCATTCCATGGGACACAAAGTAAAATAAAGTCGCAAACACTTTAGCAATTCATGCAAAGATAGAAAATATCCAACATGGATTGAGAGAGTTAAGCGCGCGATCTACCCTATTAGAAGAATTGATTTGTTTTCTTGTCCTTCTTTCTTTTCTTTTGCTAATGTAATAAAAAAAATGTCCTTCTTGTAAAAATGAGAATAGAAATTAGACGAAAAATCATTATTGTGTCGTGGAAAAACCACTGCCTTAAAAGCAATTTCAGCACGACCACAGTACTAAATCGTATATACGTTGGTTGCTCCCCAAAGTTAACACAACACCCAACTTATTAGAGTGGATTGAAATCGAAAAACTAGCCCATATTTTTTGTAAGCATCGTGAGAGAAAATGATAGAAACCTCTATGTAATTCTTTATATTTTTTTCCTCCAAATCAATAGACCCATATATATGGGGAAACTAAGAAAACTGTTATAAAAATAAATTAAATATTATTAACACATACAATTAATTTATAAATGTTACCATTCTTATAAATTAATATCACGAAAATAAAATGTTTAATGAACGATTATTAAGTTTCAATAAACGTTGACCCCTTTTCTCGTTTACCTCTATTTGAAACCTCAGATTTGGAGGGAATAGATTTTGAAATTATTTCTAGTGTTGGATTAAAAAAGAATTTTGAAATCTCAAATGATTTCAAATCCTGTTTTTCAATTATTTTCCATTCCATATAGCTCAAATTTGGGAGGAAAATCTATATTTTGCCCTCTTTTTTTTGAGAAAAAAAATAACAATTTAATTTTGCCATATAACTTTACCTATCTACACTCGTAAAACTCTCTTCTACGCAAAATTATCTTCTACTATGTGTCGGAGAAAGCCAGGTGTCGAAGGTAAGCTCTATTCGGCCCGAAGCATTGATTCCCCATAACAAATAGGCTAGCTCGAGATTTCAATTGCATATCATGTGCTCTAGAAGGTCCCTCAATTCCTCGATAGCACCTCGAGGTGCATTTTGTTGTCTTACATGAGACTCGGGATATTCCTCACTCCATGACATGGCACCTTTCGCTCATCCATTCCGCCCGCCGTTCAGACACGACGCCCTTTTTCATTATCAGTAGATCATCAAACGGAAGATTTAGTTTCAAATATCTTTTGTAGTTTTCTTTATTGTTATCTTTATTTTAATAACTATAATTTAAATCTGTACAATGAGACCTTTTGCATCATCAAGTAACCTCATGGTTTGGTTTTCTATTTTGTTCCAGTATATTTAATTTTCTTTCTATTTAATTATTGCTCGGATCTTCTCTATGGTTTTTGGTAGATTTTTCTTCTTTTTATTTTTTTAATTTTTCTTCTTTCCTATTTTTTTTATTTTTTAGTACTGCATATCGTAAAATAACCAACTATGATTAAAAAAAAAGAAAAAAAAAGAACACTTTGTTGTTAAATTGAGGTGAAAAAAGATTTTCATATATGTTTTTGGTTTGAGATTTTTTTTTTCTTTTCGTTTCCAATTTGTGCTCATTCAATTTTTTAAAGAGAAAAATAGGTTTTTTTTTTGCATTTTTTTAAATATAAATAAAGTGAGAACTAGCAAATATAACCTATAGAATTTGACACAAAGTAAGAGTTGGAAACGAAACGCTAATATGTTTTAAGTCAAGATACGATAGATACTTAGTACTTGTACTATAGCTTGCTTTTAGTAAGCAATTCACAAATTGTTTGACATGCAGGGGGAAGGAAGACCAAAAATGTTAAGGGTATAATAGTAAAATGTTATACTTTCTTTTCATTTCTTGTAAACATCCAAACAATAAATTTTAATTATAAGTATTTAGAATCATTTTGGTTCCAAACGCAATCAGGAATTTAAAATCATTTCCATAATTTAAAACCTCGAAATTTGAAACTATTTCCTACCAATTCTACATGGGCAAACCGTTTCAAAAATAAAAACAGTTTTTTACAAAGTATTTTTCCTTTGTCATTCCCAACACCTTTAAGTCGATATAATTTATTTATTTTAAATGACACCATGGTAAGCTCATGTTTGAGATTTTATTTTTATTTTAAAAAGCTCTATTTTTATTTTAAAAAGCTCTAGTGTTGTCTTGTTTTTATTTGTTGTCTTGTTTTTATTTTTAGTGTCAATTCTCGTGAATAAATAATATTACTATCTTAACCAACCCATTGAATTATGTTCAATTACTTAAATAAAAAAGTTTTGACCATTTCCTCTCTAAACTGCCTTGTTCTCATTTTTAATTTTTTCCTAAACATAAATAAAATCATTATTTCCTCATTCTTGACTTATAAAATACATAAATTTTACTTTTCCATTAACACTTTTATTTATTATTATTTTTTTATGAACAGTTTCAAACACAGATATGTTTTTTTTAATATCAAACATTAAACACACGAGTTATGAAAGGAGAGAAAAGAGACAAAAAGGCAGAAGGAACAATTAATCTCTTTTCAAGGAAGTCGAATGTTCAGTTTCCACGCAGAGGTTTTACACAAATAAGTGGGGAATTTACAGTTACAAAAACTGATACAATTATTTTGGTAAACAAGAAGAGACACGATTATAAAGAACTAAGAAATGCAACTTATGAAAATGACATTGTTAATTAAAAACTAAAAAATACCAAAATCTTACCAAGCCAAAGCCTGTACAGAATTCAATTCTTGAATCTATAAGCAAAGCCTGATCCTCTTCTCCTCCCTCTCTGCATCTGTGATTATGTTGGACTTTGTACCTCTCTCTCTCATGCATCTTTTGTAAGGCACAAACCCTTTGGTATTCTTTTCATGGCTACTTATTAGCTCACAAGACAATGCTTTCCCAATCAATTCATCTTTACAAACTGAATCTCCATCTCTGTTGGAAAACGGGATATCGTTCTCCCTGCTGTTTACCGATCCCGTGTTCGATCCGCACCATGATTCGTCCTTGTGAGTTTCCTTGTCATCAACTTCCGGATTCAAATTTGCATCTGCTTGCTTGACATAGTGCACAAAAGAAAATGGGCTACCGCCATAAGAAGCCCACCACGATACCGGGACTGCAGAACCAGCTGCTACTTGATTCGAGTTTCCGCTGTTGAGTTGTATGAAATAGAAAGCTCCATGATTCCAGGTGCCCTCTGTATTCCCCATAGAAGACTCCATGACCATGGAGTTCCATGGTGATGTTTGCTTATATTTTTCGCGCGGTTTACGGTCAGCCTCAGATGCACGGATCTCCGCGGTTGGGGTTTGTTTGTGGGGATCTGTTACTAAAACTGTCCTTCCAAAGAGCTTAAGACTCTGGATTGACACTTCTTTTGTAGAGACGTCTTTATCATGTACATCATCCGTTGGAAACAACTCTAGATTCTGTCATCCATAACAACAGAGCTTGCTTTTAGTTGCATCAAAAGGGATTAAGTAATTTCCACAAATCAATGAATAAGATAGCTATCAGAAGGAAAACAAATAGAAGTTGCACCTTTGAAAATCTCTCATGGGGGATTGAATTTGATGTCCCTGGGGCTGGTGGTGTTGGAGATTCATTGTCCAATAAAGATGAGTTCGGTTCTGTCGATGGAATAGATGAATCTGGAGATGCACTGTCATGAAGAATTCTCGAGTTCGCAAAAACGAGCGTATCCGAACCGCTTGCTGCTGCTATTGTTGATGTTGGAGATGGACATTCTTTGTCTGAAAACTGCGGAGACAAAGACCTTGTCTGTTCCAAAATGGGGACTGCTTTATGAGCCTGAGGTACTTCTTTACGTGGATATGGATGCGCTGGTTTTCGTTTCGGACGCGGAGGAGGAATCTCGATGCATCCCACTAAATTTGTGCTACACCCATTTGAATTCCGCGTGACCTGAGGAAATTAAAGTAAAACATGAGAAGTCGGAAGATCCAGAAGAACAAGCATCAATCCTTCAAGGGATCATTTGCACCCCTTGTGATTCTTAACAATTACTTGCATGATTCATAAATCAGAATATGTATATTAAGGCAGATAATAGGTAGTGGAATAAGAGCATTAGACCTTGGAGAAGAACTTTTGGGCATGGCTACGAATCTGAACTGCAGTCTTGGTGCCCACATGCTCTGTTACACAAAGATAATTTTTAAGAGAAAATGGAAAAAGTATATATATATAAATCTATATCTTGTGTTTGATTATATGCCATATGATGTTTTTGTTCAACTATACCTTCTATTTGTCTCCAATCACGACCATATAGCTTCAATGCTTCAATAAACTTTTGATGCTCTTCCTCCTTCCACCTTTCTCTTTGCTTTGTAATTGTATAGGGCTTCCTTATCTAACCAATGAAAACATAGGGCAAGTTTTTTAGAAAAGCTTGAAATGAAATGGATTAGAATTCTGGAACAGAGAAATTGGGCAATGCAAACCAAACCTTGGGAGAAAATTCCTTCACAGTTGAAAAATTGTCCTCTTTCAATTGGATATTGGCCGAAGAATGTCGGTCAGGAGACGCAGTTGATTCATAGACTGCAGAATTCATGTTGTCAGAAGAGAGACCTCCGCCAGTGAGCTGCAGTGATGAACAATGGAGCCAAACACCTCTGTCTTCCGATCTCAACGAATTTGGTTTTTGAAAGAAACTACTTCAACTCGAGCTGTAATGGATTCTTACAAAGTTAGAATTCCCAGAATGATCAAAAGAAAAAAATGGTGCACGGGATATCACGGATAAGATTATAAGAACCAAACAAAAACGCTAATGAACTGAAGAAATGGTGAGAATACGAGTAAACTTTTATGTCTTCTTCAGTCTCACCCGATGCCCCATTTATATATGTATATATGTTCTTAACAAACAGAAAAAATATCTACCCAGTTTTATGACATGTGCAAATTCCATAAAAACAAAAAAAGGAGAAAAAAAAGCAGAATTAGTGATCGGTTTGGATATGTTGTCATAGTAGATCGAGCCAATCAGCAAACTAATAATGTCAAACAGCTTTCAGATATTCTCGGAAAGTTCTGAAATGCAAGTTTCCTGTTTCTCGGGAGTAATTGTAGGAGGCCCAACTTTCAAATTTCAATATCAACCAATAATCATCTAATACATCACATGGAAAAAAGAGACATAGACGCAGCAAAAACACGTTCTCCCTATTATTTCTCGATTCTCATACCAATAATTAATAAGATCTGAACGACTTTGAAGCTACCAAAACGGACCAAAGGAATTGTTGGTCCAAATTAAGGGGAGAGGATAAGAAAAATGGATTATACATACTTGTGATTGCATGCTTGCTCTGCTTTTACAGAGGCCGATTCCAAACACCTCTGTCTTCCGGTCTCCTCCAAGTTGATTGCTACTCAATTTCCAAAAACCAAGAGATCCTCTACACTTTTCAACACTTGGAATAAATAATTCATTCTACAGCTTGATATCGAACCGATTTAGTTCCAATTCCACTTCCAGGTGCGTTAACGATCCTAATTCTCATGAGAAAACCAACTCCAGAACCGAAATTTCGAGACCGTGTTCTTAGAAACCCTAAAATTGAGTAATCGGCGACAGAACTAATCTCTGGAGATGAATCAGATTCGCGCCAGTGGACTTCGCTGAAATAAAGAGAGGTTTTGTCCGTACAAGAGCAGGAGAAGAAGAACTAATTGCACGATTTGGAAGGAGAAGCATGAGAAGAACACAAAAACGCGAGCAAAAACTTCATTTTCAGCATCACAAAACTCTTGGTTACGCAGAAAACAAATTACAAACCAGATCAATCGCCCTGCTACGAATTGAGACAACAACTTGATGAACAAATTACACGGGAAACAATAATCGTAACGGAACAGAGATGCGGGAGAAAGCTTAGAAATCGAGATGAAACGCCGATGGACCTCGAAAATCAGTCTGCTCCGTCGAAATTCCGAATCGAAACTGGAATCAAAAGCCCAGGAAGTCGAGGGTCTCGAGGCAGAAGGCAATTATGTGAAGAAAATGAAGAAAGAAAGAGGAAGAAGATGAGAAAATGGAGATTGGAATTGGCAGTGGATGAAAACCCGTGAAGAATGAAGAAGGAGGAGAAATGAAATGATGATGTAGCTCGGGAACACCGAGACTGAGAACTTTGGCTTCCGGTGAAGATCAACAAAAGTCGCTACCACATATTCCCTTTTTCCTTTTTTTTTCCCCTTTTTGTTGATGCAAATTGCAAAATACAATGGATAAGTATTAAAAGAAATAGAATGCAACAAAATTACAAATATACAAAATTAAAACATTTTTTAAGATATATATGTGTACATGGACACATGACAATAGGTTCGAGATCAGCGTAAACAGTAAACGGATATTTTCATAATATTATAAAAAGAAAATTGACAAAATATGAAAAGTATCATTAATATAAATATAATATTAATATTAAAAGACATTTGTAAATATGGCAAAAACATTTAGTAAAATAGCAACCACATTTAGTTTTTTCAAACATAACACTTTTTTAAAAAAGGAAACGGAGGTCCAATTTTAAAATGACAACTTTATCCAAATGATATATATATGTAATATATCTGATCAATGATATGGGTGTCCGTGCAATATGTATGTGATATACATCTATACTATTGATATGAATATCTAATATACTATTGGTATAAGTAAAAAAAAATTGCTATATTTGAAAATTTAAAATTAAGTGTATATTTTGAAATTTATAAAAGATTTTTGCTACAATTTCTCTAATATTAATCATTTCAAACTTATTTAGAAAGAGAAAAATGCAAAATTGTTAATTTAAATATTTTTTACAAATTTTGTACTTTTGTAACATACCTAGGAATATCCATTGATATCTGCATGTTATCAATATTTATATTGGCATTTCCACGAAATTGAAATCTCGACATTTCATCAATACTAATGTTTAAAACATTGACCTTAATTGTGTCAAGAAAAAAAAATATTGACCTTAATCATATACTGAAGCAGTAATTATAGTTATGTGGTAATTAACATATATGTACGACCAAAAGATTATGAGTTCGATCTCCACCCCACATATTGTAAAATATATATCCACCCCACATATTGTAAAATATATATATATATATATATATATATATAATTGATGAATAATTTTTCTTAAAAAAGATAATAAACAATAATATATTTTAAAACAAATGTTGTAGTCACCATTATTTTCTGACAGAATTTTTAAATTTTAATAAAATGGAAAAAGGAAGAGAAAAAAATAAAATTTGTGGCTCACGTCCGAAGCTTAACAGGATGACATGTGGCTGTTTCTTCTATTATCTTCTGTTGGCCAACCCCTTATAAATTGGGATAGCTTCTATCCCATTCATGACGTCATTATTTCGTACCCCGTTTTATTAATTTTTCGTAAAACCATTCATTTGTATTTTTTATATATATAAAGACATTGATTTGTGTTACGTTTAAGTTATATTAATGAAGATTATTGGATTAATAATTAGTAAAAGGTTTGTTATTATTTCATTATATTGGAAATTGTGAGAGTACAATGGAGTTTGAATTTTAGATGAAAATACATACATGAATGTCATAATTAAAAAAGCAAATCAATTGAATCTGGACGTGGACAGCCTCTGTTTTTATTTTCTTTATTATTATTTGGTAAATCCATCAAATCCATAAAGGGAACAAAAAATCTTGGCCAAATAAAATTTGTTAAACTTTTTTTCTATTTCAAAAATTGACCTTCCATCAGTTTTTTTTTTTTTTTTAAAAAACGGTCATCTATACTTTTACTTGTACATTTACAACATGGATATAGTTAAACTAACTAATACTTTATCAATCTCATTTATAGGTGTAAAGTTTGAATTCTTACCTCATATTTGATCTATATTTAAAAAAACTATTATAATTATATTTTTTTATCTACTTTATATTAAAGTCTCCATATGGTTTACTTTTTGATTTTCATCTCTAAAACTTTGCAACGATAGAGATATTGTCCTAACTTAGGCTATTTTCTCACTTCCCATGGGTGTACTAGTTTTTTTTTTTATTTATTTCAAATTACATCGTTTATCCTAACTTATATTCTAGATTTTAAATGTTAGTATTGATTAATATTTTTTAAAAGGGTTATTAAATTGAAACAAAATCATGTGTTGCAAAAATAAAAATAAAAAAACACATTATCTAAAAAGAAAACAATATTGAAGGAAAATGATATTGAAAAGATACTTGCTATTTGCTAACCAGGAAAAGAAAAGAAAAAAGAATAAATAAATAAAATATCTCGGTCAGGGGCTGAGAAGGTAGGCCAGGAGTTGTGGATGAGGAACCGGATATTAATTAAATGGAAAAAAAAAGAAAAAGAAAAAAGAAAAAAGAGAACATGTCAGGTGGATTTGAGGCTGTCCCTAAATTATCTGAATGCGCTTTTTCGCCACGTCACCATCCGTTGTCCACTTTTCCACGTGTACATTGCTGGACCAATGGGACGTCCGCCTTGTGGATGTCTTCCGAGCAACTCGCTTCTGATTGGGCGGGGGACTTTTTTGGCATTTTTAAGGAAAAATAAAAAATGGGAAAGAAATTGGCAGCCACAAATTTACCGACAGCGACCGTTGTGTGGAATAAAAGGCGGATATTAGAGTGGCGGTTTTAACTTTCGGAGCTCCTATGTTCGACACGTGGCGACTTTTAAAAAATTATTATTATTATTTTTAATGGAGGTTTTGCGTGGGCTTTCCATTTTGTAAGGCCTTGGATTTTTCTCTATCCTCATTCCTCGCTTTTGGATATTCTCCCCCCACTATATGATGATACATAATTTTCTTTTTATCTCATGTACTTTGTGAGTTGTATGTTTCTTTTAGTGGGATATGTTTGAGTAGACGTTGATGCTTTAAATTGATCTGAATTTACATCACTCTTCTTGATTAATAAAATTTACAAAAGTAAGAGAATAGACACTAATGTAATGCTTATATCAGATATGGGTATAGGTTAAACGTAACGAGTGTTTTAGAATTTTTGTAGCGTAATTTGATTACAAGACTTTTCTCTTTATTTATAGGGGGAAAATCTAGAATCTTCTAGATATCTTCTTCTTTTGAATTCTCCATATCTAAAGGATTCAAATTTGAGGGCCAAGTAGATTTCAAAACATGAGAGAGAATGTGGGCAGCTAATGGTGCTTGTTTCATGGACTAGAGTCCAAGAGACTCGACTCATGCAGCTTGGCCTTATCAGCTGCTCGATCTATAGGTTCTCCCCATGAGGCAGAACTTTCTTGAGTTAGGGTCATGGGCTAAGACCAACACACTTGATTCATGGAACACTTGATTCATGGAGCATGGCTTGTTGGTTGAACATACGGTGTTCGTATCGAAAGCTCAACCTTTTTTAATGTTTCTAACTAAGTTTGGGGGTTTTAGTTGACCTGGGTCAGCCGTCCTATTAAGCTTTTATGAAGTACATTCCTAAATTATGACTCTACTTTACTCATTATACGATAATCATTTCTCTAGAGATATTTAACTGGTTGAGGATTATTATTAATTTCGCTTCGTTTTCCCTTAAACTAAAATTTTTGTGTATTAAGATTGAGATGAAATTAAACAAGAAGTTCTCGATTGAGATCTAACATGTAAGAAACATGAAAGTCAAACTATGAGAAAGATTCTTGGCCCTTTTAAAGAATCAATATCAGACACCAAGAGAGTTTAAAGAAGTGAATAAGAGAGAGAGCCAAACAATGCATGAACCTGTAGATTTAGCATCGAAAATCCTCTCTCATAATTGAATGTGGTTTAATTTTGGATCTAGGATATTTTAAGGACCCATCACTTTTTTTACTAGTCTATTTCCACATGCATTGCAAGTAATTTTTTTTTTTATTTAATCTTTTAATAACTTCAGAAAAAAGACACTACTATGTATTTATAAATTGATAGACATGAATGTAATTAAGTTCGTTGGTGAAATAATAGTAGAAGAAAGTTATTGTATAATTGTTGATTTTGAAATCCAAATTCAATTGGAGTTCTATTATTAATTATAATTAACACTACAAGAATTTTATGCTTTAGCGACGAAAAAAATTCATTGTCATTGCCCCGATTGGTTTTTGACAATGAAAATATTTCTATATCTATTAAAGAAAATTTTAGCTAATTTTTAATTCAGTACTTACTAAAAATGTTATTTTCATTAAAAAGAATTGAAAATAATGACAATAACACTATTGTCTTAATGTTAGTAGGGGAAAAAATAATTAATAATCATATAAATTGATAAATTGAAAATATCAGTAGTAATTAGATTTTTAATTTATGTCGATACACAAACTTCTAGAATATAAATAATATCAATATTAATTCTGAAATAGTTTATAACCATTTATTCGAAGGATTGATATCTGTATTTCAAAAAAATTTCCTTAATATTGTTCACATATTGATATTGAAATCAAGCTATTTGTGTCAACCTAAGCTTAGTCAACCGAATAAGAAATCTATCTCGAACAAAATGGATAGTGGATTTGAATCTTCACCCTCATATTTGTTGTATTAAAAAAATCAAATTATTTTGTAAGATTCAAAATGTGCTAGGCTATTGTGCAACGCTACAAAATCTATAAATTTTGAAGAAATCCAAAGATGGACAAGAAGCAAACTAAGAGACAAAGTAAATTGTTCTAAAAGAAGTAGATGTGAACTCCATGTATATAGATGTAGGGGAAGATGGTTAGGGATGTTGATGGGCGGGGCGAGGCCGAGGAAGAGGAAGGCTTCCCATCTCCATCCTTGCCCCCCATTTAATTTCCTATCCCCATGAAATTCCCCACGAAATTTTGTGGGGATCGGGTCGGGGGTTCCCACGTAGAATTCGTGAGATCGAGTTTTCCATAGCGATTTTTCCCCATTTATTATTTTTAATTTTAAAAGTATTTTCAATAAATATTTTTTTTCTTGAAGAAATTTTTATTTAATTACTTAATTTCTAAGGTCTCATTCTCTCATATATATATTAGGTGGGTGGGTGAAGAAGAATACATGATTTTTTTAGTACATGTATGTATAAAGAAAATAATATAATTTATTTCAGCGTGTGTCTAAATATATTAAAAAAAAATGATGCGGAGCCAGGAATGAGGACGGTTACCTGTCTCCGTCCCCATTTAGGTGGTGGGGAAAATTTTACCCCATCCCCGAGAAATTTAAACAGGGATTACCCGTCCCATTTAG